AACAACAACAACAACAACAACAACAACAACAATTGATGGCAAATGAAGAAGGGGATGGCAGAGGATGAGGTGGCTAGATGGAGTGACTGAAGCAGTTGGCATGAGCTTAAGTGGACTCTGGGGGATGGTGGAGGACAGGAAGTCCTGGAGGAATGTTGTCCATGGGGTCGCGATGGGCCAGACAAGACTTTGCGACTAACAACAACAACAATGTATGTTGGTTTCCAGTGGTTTCCAACCTTTTCTATGCCCTGTGTTCACATCCCCTACAAAAGTAATATTACATTTGAAGATGAAGAAGTAAATTTCTTATTTTTGAACCCCAAATTGAACTGCATGCACTACTGAGGATGAACTGAACTTGAAAAATGATTTTAACTCAGATATTCAAATATAATTGAGCAATTAGAAAAATTGCAAACAGCAAAATCAATCCCAATGGTGAACATTAAATTCAATGACTTCGTTCTTGCTTTTCATTCATAATTTTGTCAAAAAGTGGAACTTTCTTGCTGATTGCGATCTGCAAGTCTGCTGGGGGATTCAGGCAATTCCTAGATTTTGTCTTGACAAAAGAGAACTGAATCCCAATGCAAAGAAAATATTATTGGGATAATTTTTGGCAAAAAAAGTCATGATTTGCCAATGTTGGTGATTCATGATACAGCCTTCCTCTTTGTCATACCCCCAGAAATGCCATGGTGCACCCCATGGTGATGTGGACACCCTAGGTAGGGAACCCTGTATTAACATGTATTATTATTTTGTATTACCAATTTTCATAAATTGTACACATCATCAAGAATAGCATGCCAGCCACAAGTACTTTCCTCCATTCCCGCCCCAATGAATGCTCATATAACCACTGGCAATTATGATTCAGTTTTAAAAAGCATTCACTTAGGGAAACTAATACTCCAGAGAATTACTATTGCCCTGAGAATATGGAAAATATACTGGATCTCTGCACTCTGGATAACTGTTAAAACATTATGGAATCAACTAGTCCATCACTCTATTGAATGCTTGCATTGGTAACTGGTGTAGGGGGATGGGGTTCACAGGTAAATTGTATAGGTGGAAAATGAAGCTCAATGGGATGGAAATGGACAAAATGTCCTACTCAGACTGAGCATAGAGTTCTTGTAGTGGGTCTGCTATTACAGTGCAATGCCATGTGTTGGAAGTAGCCTTGATATATTTCATTGCTTTGAGAATCCTACCGGATGGGAATTAAGCACTGGTATGGCCTTGAAATCTTCCCTTCTTTGTGTAGACAGCCACCATATTGTCTGTCTTTCAGCCCAGGGCTCCTCAGAGTGAGGGCTCCTAGCACTACGAATTAGAAGCCAATGTGCACTAATCCATATTTTTATCTTTCACAGGTTTTCTATGGTAAGAAAAAAAAGTTAGAAGAAATTGTGGGAATACATATTAGGGGTTAGAACAGAACTAGAGTTCTCCCTGTAAGTAGTAACTGATGCCTGCTCCAGCTCCGTATGTGGTCATCCATCCAGTTGCAAACCCATGCCTTACCAGCTTGGCAAAAGTGATCTGACAAGCTAACTTGCTGTATAGCTATGCAGGATTACAAGAGGATGGCCAGAATGTTGCAACCAGACCACTGACTGGGGCCAGCTGTGGGGCACATGCGATCCCTTGTCACAGCAGTGGAGAGCAAAGTTCTGGTCTTCACCTATAAAGCCTCATACAGCTTGGGCCGGAAATATTTGAAAGACGACATCCTCTCAGTTGAATCTGTTTGCATTTAAGAGCTTCAGGAGAGTCCTGCCCCATCAAGGCACACTAAACGGAGACAGGAGAGCAGGTTGCCTTTGGAACTCCTGGCAAGGAAGGTCATCTCTGTTATTCCTCTGCCAGCAGGCAAAATATTTTCCCCCTGACCGGCTTTTGGCATCAAAATTGTATTTTATTTGTGTTCTGGAATTCTATTTTAATTACAATGTCATCATTTTTCTGCATTTTATTGTTACCTGTCCTGTGTGCTATTTTGGGGAATGGTGGGATCAAATGTTTTCCATCTCTGTGTCTGTGTCTCTTTAGCTAAGTAGAACTTCTCATTTATTAATAGTTACATACAGTATCACAGCATTGATCAAAGATGCTATTTCTGTAAGTCTTCCTGGAACAAAAATTCTCTTGAATTAAGTTATATTGACTTTCGCTCACTATATGAAGACTATTTAAAAGACTACTTTGCCTAGGAAGAGACATGGAAGTACAGTGCCTTGCAGAAATATTCACATACACATACACATCCCTTTGACTTTTCCACATTTTGTGGTGTTACAAACTGAAAATGAGATACTTTAAATTGGCATTGTCGCCACTTCATGTACACACGATATTCAACTCTACTAAGGTGCAAAAGATTATTGTGGCATTAAATTAAGTTCAGTAAATGAAATTTAAGTTAACAAACTGGCAAAGGCTCTCTCTCATGCACGCGCATGTGCACACGCACCCACACACGCAGAGACAGAAGGTTCAATCCTGTGATGGTTATAAAGGTCTCTGCTTACCATTGACATTCAGCCACAGATTTTCCATGAGAGAATGTAACTCTCAATTTAAAAAAAAAGGCTCTCAGCCCTGATTTAAGAACAACTACTGGATGAGGAATTGTAGTTTTCTTCTGACTAAAAATACATAGATTGCACCTTAAATAGAGGTGGACAATATTTTTTCTGTCAAGGTTCACATTTCTTCATGAGTCATCTGCAGAGGCTGCATGTGAAGAGGGATGAAATGGGCCACCCCCTTTTCTCTTTCTGCCACCATGTTCTCCTGCTTTCTCTGTTGCTGTCTGCCAGGGAAGGGACAGATGGCTGTTGCCAGAGGTCTGTACTGATTGCTTGCAGAAGAGGGCTTTTGAAATAAAGCCAAGGGCCAAATGTACTCTAGGGCCATGGATTGCTGACTCCAGCCTAAATCCCTCCTAGTAATGAATAAACAAAGGAAGGCTTAATTATTTTCCATCCAGATAAGACCATTATTAACTTGCAATTGATGCATGAGTCACAGACATGAGAACTCTGACCTTACAGCCTGGACTTCCTCTTTCTTAGATTGAAAATAACTTTTCAAAAACACACGAACATTTCTTGCAGCGACTTTTCCCAAGACATATGCACCTCTCTCTCCCTGTCATCATTTAAATAGCATTTGAAAACATTTGAAAACATAGGGCATTTGAAAACATAGGGCTTTGCAGTGGCCTGTATTTGCACTGGGACATACTAATGGGCTATGAGAGGGGCTGCAGTATGCCTTCAATACTTAAGCCACCCTGTTGGATGCATCCACCAGTCTCTATCCTATGCATCTTGAAACAGGAAGGATCTTCTTGCATCAATTCCACTTCCCACTTTGCCATTACACAGGCACCAGGATGCTGTTGATCATGTAGGAGTGGGGTGGAACTGAATCCCAGAAACATCCATGATATTACAGTTTTTGTCCTCAGACTGATGGTCTAATTGACACAGCACAAAAGCAAAAGAAATCTGTAGGAAGGATGGGGCAGAGAGCAAACATGGACTTGTGTTTATTTATTTACTTTGAAGTACGTCCAATGTGCCTTATATCAATGGCTGCCAGCACATGAGACAGCAATGGGCTATATCCAATGTTAGCTAAACTTAACTCCCATTCAGTTCAATTGTTCTATTCCAAGTAAAACAAACATCAGACATCATCCATCTATAAAACCATTCAACATCAAAACACAGATCGAAAAAGTAACCCAAGCAATCAAATGAGAACAAATCAGTTAACAAATAGCCAAGTCTTAGCATGGTATGAAATGTGGCCAGCACCCAGACCAGCTCTCCACAATGACCCTTTCTTATATCACAACATAATAAGGCTTTCACTGGTGAGCTTAATACTGGGATAGATGGATACAGGGAGTTTCTAGTTACACATATCTTTCTTAAAAGTGCTCCACCTGGCTGGGAAAAGGGAGGCAAGCTCCCTGAAGTTGCCCCTCCTCTGCCTGATGGATGGGGCCAGGTCGATCTGTCCCTTGGCATTATATTCTTCCTAGGAGGCAAGGAAAATATCCTCCCAGTGGCCCTTGGACCCCTTGCCAACAGCAGAGGCCAGAATACACTTCCTTGCAGCTACGCCTCTGGTTCCAACCCCTATTCCAGATTTGCAAGAAGGCTCATTTTCCGAGAAGTTGTTTGAGAAAACATATAGGCATATTTCAGAAGGAAAGCATGGCTTGCCTCCAATCTTAATCCACAAGAAAACTCAAGCGAGTCAATGGGAAACTAAGCTTACTAATATAATACATAGCTAGGTAAAAATAAATTGGCAAAACCTTTACAACAGCTGGTGGCATTTATTTCTCAAGACTTTTTCTCACTTTTGTTGAATCACATCATATTCTGCACCGCTGGCATTTCGAAAGTGTTTGATCATCAGATGGAATTCACTTTTAAGTGATACAAGGATTGTGTTATGCGATGAAGAAATAATATAAACACATGTAAATATGGAATTTGCATTGGATTCTGCCACAACAGAGGCATCAGTCTCTCATTAACAGTGTATATCAAACAGGTGCCCAACCCCTACTTTTTGTCCAACTGTATAGTCAACTATAAAACTTGCTTCCTTTTTGTAGCTGTGTAATGTGGGAGTTTAAAATAGGTAGCATAGGATTTTGTCCTGCACGTATATATATGGAACACCCAAGGGTATTGAAAAGGCCTCTTGCCTTAATTTGTTGTCACTTTATTGAGTCAGTTTTGTTTAATCCACATGCGAATTATCATTTTATTTTTATTTTTTATTATGTTACGGGGCATGGCTGCAATCTAATGTATCCTATCAAACCCCATGGTGCTTGCTTCTGACTACATAGCTCCAACTTGCAAAACACCTTGAGTTTAACAAAAGATCTTTAGCCAGCCAAAATGCAATCTTTAGCTTTTAGTTTAAAAAAACAACAGCAACAAAAACAATCTTGCAAAGAAATGCCCTATACAGTAAAAGAAAAGTAACGTGCCCAAGCACCTAATACAAGACGAGGTGGGGTCTGAGCACAAAACACAAACTCAACCTAGTGGTGTGCTGGAAGACACTATTTGGCTTTGCACTATGCCTATGACCCTCCCCCAGTTAAAAATAAAATGAATGTCTAAAATAAAATGAGACTCAGGTTGGCAGGCTGAATCTTGGGGTGCACCAAGAATATCCATAGTACCTATAAGCACCATGCTGGGGACCCCACAGTTGGAGAACTGCTCCTTTCTTTCATGGCCTAGCCTGTCATGTAAAACTAAAGACAGTGGGTTGGATTCAAACCAGTTAAGTCATGACCAACATGTCCCATTTCTTTGCATTGGTCCTAAGTTCAGATAAAAATTGCTGTGCTTACCTGGGACTAAGCTCCACTGAATTCATTGGAGGTTTCTTCTAAAGAGATTTGCAAAGAATTGTATAATGATTCAGGATCTAACCCAGTATCTTTTGGCTCTATGTGTGACGAGGTACAAAGGCTCTATGAACAATGAAGCATCCCTGTGCTGAGTTCTTAAGAAAGAACCACCTCCTCTGAAGAGGGCTTGTACTTCTCACACATTGTCATTTAATGACTGATCCAGTTCCAAGATACACATTCAACAAAATTGTCCCTACAGTCTACTACCATTATCCTCTTGCTTAAGAAGGGAATACCTGAATGTGCAGCAATTCATTTTTAAAACATTACTAAGCAATAAGAATTTAGTTTATACCTTTGGAATCACCATGAAAGAGGGCTAAAGAGGGCACCTATTTGCTTAAAATGCATACGTATATAAACAGTTTAGAAACAATGGCAGTTTATATAGAAATACAATATATCCCACCATTGTGTGAAGGGTGACCTTTGCACCTTCTCAGCACTGTCGATGGGAAACTTCAAGGCCCAACTCTTCTTCCTGATGACTCTTTTTATTAAAAACCAGGCTTGAAGTGGAAGGTCCTTCAAACAGAAATTGTCTTCAATATCAAGGCCCATCTTCTCACAGTCCTCCATGTGGACTTTCTGTGAAAAAAACCACATGGCTATCCTAGTTCACAATATTAAATCTTAATTGCAGATCACATGTATTTGCACACATGTTCAGCAAGGAGTACCAGAAACAGAAAATCAGGATTCTGTGCAGAGAGTAGTTTCTAAATACTCTTTAGGAGTAATGCGGGTTGTTTTAACTGAAGAGTCTCCCTTCGGTTGACTTCCCACAGCAGAGTTCATTATTACTAGCCTACATGCTTTGACACACCATCATGAGGTAGCAGTCAATAAAAGGAGCAAGCATGCATTGCAGCAGGGAAATAAATTGCTTCATTGTGATGACTCATCCAGGGCACCTTGCACACACCCTGCTGTTGTGAGAAACTCAAAGGCTTGGAGAGCCTGTGCAACTGAAAAAAACACAGAAAAGTAGACTGGTTTACAGTGCCATGTCATGGTGCTAGGACGTTGAAAACAATTCCGTGTTGTCAAAAAACTATCCTTCTAATAACAAGACGATCACTTAATTTCTACCTGTGGCTTGATTGTAATCTTATGTACCATCTTTATTTGTTCCTTTTCTGGGCTGACAGTCTCTTTAATTGTGACACACACTATGTAATTTAGCATCCTCGCTTTAACATTAGGAAACTCAAAGGCATTGAACCATCAGACAAGTTGCCAAGCAAGCCCCGATTCTGCCCTGATATACAGAGGTGCAGAACCTTGTTCAGCCAGAACATTGGATTCCATTCTTGAAAGACTCTAACAAACTGCATTCCAGAAGTGGGCAGGGCCAAAATACCAGTGCATTTTAGCTTAAAGCTCTTAATAACAATAACTAATGCCTTAGGAATGGCATTTTTATCTTTGAGGAGAGGGGGGACTACAGAAAAAAAGGTAAATAAATCAAACAGTTGGGAGTTCTGAGGCAACTCCTTAAGCCAGTAAGAACTCTGTTGAGGCAGCATCAGTTACCTGGATAACCACATCATTGACAGAAGCAGGTGACAGATACAAATGCGGTGAGTATTCAGATGTGTTGAGGAGAATGAGAGAGGAGAACAACATCTGTAAACAAAAAACCAGAAGATCTGTGGCACAATCCTACATGTTTTCTCAAAGCTGAGCACTATTAAGTTCAAAGGGGCTTATTGTTGAGTAAAATGTGCTGAAGAGCAGTATCAATGGCAGGCATGATTGGGCATTTGCTGAGGGCACTTGCTGACAGCAGTCCCCTGAATTGGCTTCTTGACCACTGCAGTCTGCTTGCTCACCTGCCTCTCACTCTGGTGGTGATGAGAAGGAATGGGGCATGCCACCTCAGACTTGCTCCATGCCTTTCAAGCAAACGTGTGGCAGCAATTATGAGAGAAAAGGATTAAAAGTAATAGCAACTGGCAACAAGTGTGATGAGAAGGTAGATGCACTGAAGGAGGGACGCATGGTGCAAAGGCCCTCACAAACCTAGAGCCAGCTCTGCAATCTCAACATGCTTGAGGACCTCCCAGTCCTAAGAGCAGGACCACTGGCTGAGAGGAACCTTGTCTTCAAAAGATGGAACAAACATTTTAATAATAATACGGATGGTGATAATAAAGGCCAGAAGTCAATACAGAGTTAGGAAAGTCAAGCCCACTGGTCCTGCCACTGTCTCCAAAATACACGCTGTCTAGCCTATCTTGCTGGAGTCCACCAGCAGGGCCTTCAGATCCATACCGCTGACCTGAGTATGTCTGAGCATCCCTGTTTACAGGGCTTGTCCAGGCTTTTGCAGAATGTAATAGTGAGGCCTCCATTTCCATGCCAGGCATTCCTTCTCGCTTTATCAGAGGGAGAGGGGTCATTGAGTTCCCCTCTGTTGGTTTGGTTGGTTGCTTCCCTCTCAGAACTTCCTTTGTTAGCATTCTAGCCTGCTGCATCAATGGGTGCACCTGTGCAACAAACTCCCTGAACTTGCCAATATAAGGAAATACGAAATTCTTATATGGTTATATGCATCTAAAGAAAATACAAAAACCTAAATTGACTTAGAGAAATCCTTTGCCAACATAGCTGGGACAGCTTCCATGTTCAGTCCTTCCAGAACTGCCTCCTGCAGTACGTATTCCACATGAGCATTCTCTAACTTCGTAATGTCACAGTATGGAGGAGTTGGCTCTTTCCTTCCTGTTCCCTTTTCTTTTCTGTTATGTTTGTTAGAGTCCAGGCTGAGCAGCCCTTGTATCCCTGAGAGTCACACGTGGCAATGAGCAGAATATTGGCCAACATATCCAGGTCTGGCAACAGACACACATTGGCCAAGTGGTGGGTGTGTCATCCCCCCATGCACAAACACACACTCAGCTGTCTCCCTATCCACAGATGTAAACACATCTTTCCATGTCCACGTGCAAGACTTCCCCACGTGAGTTGTGCTTCCACAGCCTGCCAAGCAGCCGTTTGGTGGGTTGCAAGCCATGGTGTAGTGGAAGCAGGGATGCACGGAGATGCACGGCTGCACTTTTTTGATTCACAGGGAGCCAGATGCTCCCTACTCTTGCAGGAGCTAGGAGAAAATGAATTTCTTCAACATCATCATATTGCTCCCTGTTCTAATGCCAAGTATTTTGGGTGGTCTGGCTTTAATAGGCAATGAAGAGCCATTAGCTTTACAAGGGACCTGCTCCTGGTAAGATGAAAAATTCTTGGTTGATATGGATCAATACAGGAACCTAAATGTTTGCATTCTCATTAGGGATGTGATAATGAGGACTGTCCCTATGAATGTCTGTGCTTCAACATGTGCCACTACACCATTGGTCACACAAGTGCACACTTCACAGGAAGGATGGCTTTAAAAGATGACCTTCCCAGCATGTCTTTACAACCATGCTCTCCATAGACAAAGGCAGTGACAAAATGTGAGGCTGAGGGAGCAGGAAGTAATTCAGCAGTAGCTTGTGCATATGTGTGGCTGCACTGAAGTCCCTCAAGTACTGCATATGACCCATGGGTCACCCATATAGGTAACCCATTCTTTTAAACTGTAAACTCTCTTGAGTACGTTGACAGAAAGTTGATTGAAACCAGTGGGACTTACTTCCTCACAGGAACGTGCTGCATTTTATGTTTTGTTCCTAAATAGAATTGTATAAAAATTACTTTGATTGAAAACAGTGATGCTTCTTTATGTGTTTAGGACAACTGGAGGATGATGAACATTTTTAGGACAGTGTTTCTACTGCATACCTAGATGAAGCTTCCTAAATTTCATAATGTATTTTCCAAATATAAAAGCTTAACAAGTTGAACAACACAACAAACTGTGCTTTTAGGCTATCTTGTAAAATCAGGTGTTCATGTCTTTGTTGGAAGTCTTTTTTTTTTTAAACCAAATTGTCCTTGGTTCATCTTTTTAAAGGACTACTTTGAATAAAGTGTTGTCATAGGAACTAGATTTTTCTTTTCAAAACTGCATTTCAAAGGCACTGCCACTGAGGTTGTTAAACCTTAGTTGCTTTTATGCTTAACTTGAAAATGAGAAACCTTATGAATATTAAGTGGTCTGACAGTCAGCTTCTCCCTGGAGTCACGGAAAATCTATGCTATTACAATCACATGTAGGTATACAGGAAAAAGGGTTAGGGTAAATATTTAGCACATTTATAAACAAGTTGTTCCTTTAAACTGCTAGAGCACATGTCTTGCAAGGAGAAGATCATAGGTTCAAATTACATAATCTTTTGGCAGGGCTAGAAAATAGCTCCTAATAGAAACACAGGTAGCTACAGCCATTGTATTTTATTTTATTAGATTTCTAGCCCTCCCTATTAGCCACATGGCTCTCTGGGTGGATTACAATACTGATACAATACAATACTGTATAGCATACAACACTGATCTAAATGGACCAATAAGCTGGCAGCTTCCTGTTTGCATCAGGTTGCATACACGGGATTATTATATAGGATGAGCTGAGAGTGCGTCACCCTTTTAAAGCCTTATAGTCTGGGCCTACTTTCTCCTGTACCAAACCTGCCCACACTGTGAGGTCATCAACAGAGCTCCTTCTCATCTGTCTGCCACCAAGAATGTTTAGGCTCATAACTTCCATGTAGTCTTCTCAGTGATGGTTCCACACTTCTGGAATCAACTTATATCAGACATGGGCCATGCCCCTTTCTTTGCTGGTGTTCAGGAAAGTTCCAAAGACCTGCCAGTTCTTACTGGCCTTCCCATAAATCTGGGCTATTGGTTTTTACTGGTAACTTTTGTTTTTATTTATTTAACTGATGAGCTATCTTATGGATCTTATTGAAACATTTTAATGATTTTATAAGGTATTTACTTAGTGTGGTGTTTAGCTTTCACACTTGCTTAAGAGGGTTCTACATTTTAAATGTGGCCTAGAAATAATTTTAGATATCTCAATGGGAAAGAGGGGAAATTTCATAATAGTGTAAACCATTACCTATGAGAAAACTCTAAGCATCTTGACACTTTTTGAATATGGAACTTTTCTGCAACTAAGCTTGTCTAAATTACTCTTGACTCTCAAAGTATGTAGCACCCTCACTACTACTCTACCCTCACTGGATGGATAGCTAATATAGCCTTGTTGACAAAAATAACTCTCCTGAAGAAAAGTATAATATTTAAACCTGTCTAATAAACACAAGAATCGCCATTTGGGTAGAAGAGGTTTCCTTCATTTGCACTGTGTTATTATCTTATTTCATCCTCACAACAACCCTAATAGACATGGCTAAGGCCCATTCCACCATGATCTTAGCTGAAGAGGTTTGATTCTAAGTGTCTCATGTCTAAGCCCAGCTCTCTACCCTCCATTCCATATGAGTGCTTTCTTTCAACTAAAGATTAACCATTTTAGTCCTGCTGAGTGGGAGCTGGGCTAATCCAGCTGCTAAGCTCTGTTCAGCCATAACCAAACTGGGAGGTCTCAGATAAGCCATTCTGTTTCCTTAGCTCCTGTTTTCGTATCAGTAAAATTGGAATAGCATTCATCTATCTGAGGACAAACAACAGGATAGTCTGTCTAAGGACTGCAATCTTCATCAGCAAATTACAGTTTGGGAAAGGAAGAGGAGTCAGAGGAAGAGCACATGGTCCCCTGGGAGACCTGGAGGGCCAGACTGGGAGCACAGGTGGGGAAGATTTGGCCTCCAGGCCTGTTATGCTCCCCTCCCCAATGGGAAGGGTCATAGCAGATAGAGCCTAAAGTCAGAGTGCTTCCAGATAGCAGTGTCCTAACAATACCGATCAAAAGTTGTTGTTGCAGCTGCTGGGTCTCCCCTCCCCAGTTAATGGATTGGAGATGAAAGAAGCCATGGAAAAAACACTCTGGACTACACATGGAAGTCAATTACACCAGGATCCCTGCAATCCCATGAACAAGGCCATGCAATTGCACAAAGTCCCATCTGGAAGTACTTTCAACTTCCAAATAGGGCTGGAAAAGACTCCGTTTCCTGCTGCTAGTGAAGCAATATTGAGGCTACAGTGCTAGTGGGTCCAATTGTCTAGCTTGGTGTAGAGTAGTGTTCTGTTTCAAATCTTAGAAACACACTTTATTTTTATCTGAAATGAGATGACTGCATAACAGAGTATGATTCTCTTATGCACCATGGTGAAGCTTTTGCTGGCAAATGTTGCACAGACATACTCAGGGATTCATCTGAAAAATTGTCTACCAGAGCTACAAAGACTTTTCATTTGCAGCTATTATGCAAAATGAAAAGTTAAAAATTTCCATCATATTTCTCAGCATGTCTGAATGACCACTGACTTCATTTATATGCATGTTTTATGTGTTTTATGTTCCTGCATATCTTCTATTTAGAGGATAGCTATTATCATATCTGAGAAACCACTTACAGTATTTAAAAAAATAAATTATGGCTTTACTTGGTTCATACAATATTAAAGAATTCATTTGATTAAAGACAGTGGTCTGCATTTGGCACAATAAGGGCAATTCTATAGAACAGTCATTCTTCTTATGTTTTGAAATCTACAGTAGATGGAGAATTTGACTAACAAATACTGACAAACATTACTGAAACAATATAATCATGAATCATGCTTGTCCCTGGAGGCCGCTAACACCTGGGACTAGTATTTGAAAACAGGCCAAGAAAAAAATGCAGTACTATTTCTCCACATTCCAAAAGCACAGATCAAATTAGGTGAAACACAACCAATGTTTCTAGAGGAGTATCTCATACCCACTTACCTGGCTCTAATTTCCACTTAATTTATTGAAGATTATGTCTGAGAAGACATATGTAGGATGGTGGTGTAAACCTCACTGAAGATTGTTGTTGTTGTAAGTCGCAAAGTCGTGCCCGACCCATCGCGACCCCATGGACAACATTCCTCCAGGACTTCCTGTCTTCCACCTTCCCTCAGAGTCCACTTAAGTTCACACCGACTGCTTCAGGGACTCCATCTAGCCACCTCATTCTCTGCTGTCCCCTTCTTCTTTTGCCACCTATTGTTCCCAGCATTAGGCTCTTCTCCAGAGAGTCCCTCCTTCTAATTAGGTGGCCAAAGTATTAGAGTTTCATCTTCAGTATCTGGCCTTCTAAAGAGCAGTCATGGTTGATCTCCTCTGGGACTGACCGGTTTGATTGCCTTGCAGTCCAAGGGACTCGCAGGAGTCTTCTCCAGCACCACAATTCAAAGGCCTCAATTCTTCGGCGCTCAGCCTTCCTTATGGTCCAACTTTCACAGCCATTCATTGCAACTGGGAAAACCATAGCCTTGACAAGACACACTTTTGTTGGCAGGGTGATGTCTCTGCTTTTTAGTATGCTGTCTAGATTTGCTATAGCTTTCCTCCCCAGGAGCAAGAGTCTTTTAATTTCTTGGCTGTAGTCACTGTCTGCGGTGATCTTGGAGCCCAGGAAAATAAAATCTGTCACTACCTCCATTTCTTCCCCATCTATTTGCCAGGAAGTGATAGGACCGGATGCCATGATCTTAGTTTTCTTAATGTTGAGTTTCAAGCCAACCTTTGCGCTCTCCTCCTTCACCTGCATCAAGAAGCTCTTTAGTTCCTCTTCACTTTCTGCCATTAGAGTGGTATCATCTGCATATCTGAGGTTGTTATTTCTCACCGGCAATATTAATTCCAACTTGTGGTTCATCTAGTCCCATGGACAGTACCAAAAGGCATTGAAGATTATAGCCCTGCAAAATAATCCTATGCATGTCAAATCAGAAGTGAGCTCCATTATGTTCAATTAGGCTTTCTCACAGGTAAATGTGCATAGGATAGCAGCCTAGGTACGCTGCCTTTCCTATTAGAAATATGTATCCTTTGTTTTCTATGATGGCAGCTAAAGCCATCACACTGCACTGGTTCTCTAGCAGAAAATATCGTGGACCAGTAAAGATTTAACAGGCTCACTATGGCATTAATCTTTTGTGATCTTGAATCCATTTCATCTCAGGTATGCCTGGAGCCCTAACGGTGTATGGTATCCTTTGCCTCAACCTGGTACCCTTCATGTATTTTGGACATGGACAAGTCACAGCATTCCTTGTCTTTGCCCATGCCAGCTGAGCCTGGTAGGAGATGGTTAGGCCATCTTAGTTTAACAAGAGAATTCTACACAATGTACACATCTCCTCAAATGTAAGCCCCATTGCCTTCAGTAGGGCACCGTTGTTATGCATTGGCAAGTTGTTGCATTTATGGCAACCCTATCAATAAACACCTTCCAAAATGCCCTGTCCCTGACAGCCCTGCTCAGTACAGCCACTTAGGCTGTGGCTTCTTTTAGTGAAAGGGGACACACTTGTTCATCTCCCTGAAGGCACAATCCTATGCATGTTTAGACAGGAAAAGTCCAGAACATGCATCGAGTTGCAGTCTAAAACCCTTTCGCTGCTTCTGATACAACAGAGGAAACACAACTACCTTCTGCAAACTTTTGTCTTGCTTCAGTTCCTAACACTCTTGGGAGGCAAGAAGGATGGCCACTGCAACGGAAAGAGTGAGGACACACGGAGCCCTCCTGAAAAAGCTGAGCCCAGTCCAGCGCAGCTAGAGCCATGCATTCTAAAGACCCAGACACCAAAGCCATTAATAAGACCACAACACCACAAACGGCAAATACATAAGCTTGGAAAAGTGGGCGGAGCCGGCTCGCTTATGACTGCAGTCGCGTGACCATGACGCAACGTTCCGAAGGCACCATAGAGAGCTGGAACTTTTACGTAAATCCCGGAAGTGAGTTGGGGAAAGCTAGTCGGGCGGTTTCTTGAGCCGCCTTGAGCCGCCGTATCGAGTAACTACCGGGGGGAGGTGGGAAGGGAAGGAGAGCACGGCCTGAAGCGGGGGCGACGAACCAGCCAAGAAGATGGCGTCCTTGTTCATTACGGTGCAGCTCAAGAAGGCCTCCGAGGTGGACTTGGCCAAGCCTCTCTGCAAGTTCATCCAGCAGACTTACCCGGGCGGCGAGTCTCAGGCCGAGCACTGCCGCGCCGCCGAGGAGCTCAACAAGCTGCGCAAGAGCGCGCTCGGGCGCTCGCTGGACAAGCACGAAAGCTCGCTCGAGACCCTCCTCAGGTGAGGAGGGAGCGAGGTGTGTCGGGGCTACGCTAAGAGGGGAGGCTGCGCGCGGGTCGCACCCCTAGGAGAGGGTGGGGCACGGAGCGAGCTGCGGAGCCTCGGCTCTGGGCGGGCCCCCACCTGGCGGAGGTGGCTGGAAGCTCTCCCTGGGCGCGGAGCGGGGTGGGGGGCGGTTAGGTTCTCGAGAGGGGCGTCTGTGCTCCGTTGTGCCCAAGGGCGGGGATGGGCCGTCTGGCGGATGTTTCGATGTTTTAAAATAGAAGTTCACCAGCGGTACAAAAGGCGCGTGTCGTTAGAGGATTCCGAGCCCCGCAATTCGTTGTGATCATCTCGTTCTACCCAAAAATCCACTTGGTTTAATCGTACTTCTATCCCACGTTTCCGCCAAAAAGGGCTCCAGGGGCACCTTACGTACTATAAGGAAAAGGAAACACTCGTTGCCCTCAAGCTTGCAATGGATCAGCGCGTGACTCACGAAAAACGGAATGGGGAGAGAAGAGGAGAAAAACTGAACTGTTTTACGAGGCTGCTGGAGTGGCCCGTTTCTCCCTGGTCTCCCGTTGTACAGCTTGCAGGAATGGTTTGCTTGCTGAAGGAGGAGGAGCCTTCATGGAGCAGGCCCTACAGCGAGGCTATCCTCATCTTGTTTATCTCAAGCTCTCAGCATTCTCTCTGTGTGTAGGGAATTCATACTGATTTTGTTGATAAATAATTGGAATCAGACACCATTATTGTTCTATTGCAAATCCTACTATTATAGCCTGTGCTCACACCTGTTTTAAGGGGGTCTTTTCCCTTCTCATTGATGCTCGTCATACACTCAAAATGGGGCATGTATAGTCTTGAGAACAGAAGACTGAAGGAAGATATGAAGTATTCAGAAGGTTACCGCAAAGAAGAAGGCCACAATCTCTTTTTGATAATCCCAGAGTTCAGGACACAAAATAACAGACTCAAATTACAGGAAGCCAGATTCCAGCTGTGAATATTAGGAAGGACTTTCTAACTTAGAGCAGTATAACAATGGGCCACTTGCCTAGAGAGATTGTGGGCTCTCCCACACTAGAGGCATTTAAGAGGCAGTGGCACAGCCATCTAAGAGGGGTAGGGTAACGGAGTCCTGAACTGGGCAGGGGGTTGGACCTGATAGCTTTCTTGGCCCTTTCTAAGTCTACTATTTTATGATTCTGTGGAAATCATGCTTATTAGAAGTGACAGCTATGTGGCATGGTTGATCCAAAGCAGCCGCCCAACTGGGTGTCTTTGGATCTGTCACAGACTCTCCTCTGTTCTAATACACTGAATGAGTGGGTCATGAGCGGAGCGCCGGCTAGAATCGGGGGTCAGACTAGATGGCCCGGGAGGGTCCTTCTGACTCATTCTGTTTCTATGTTCTGTTGAGCAGGTTTGTGCAATGTGACAACTTGCTGAGGTTTAATTTGCCCTTGAGAAGATGCAACACTTGCTGGGTGCCATTATCTGGTGTGGCTTGTCCTGCTGGGTAAACTCAGCTGGTGCACATTATTTGATGGCTGAAAATCTTTTGCTTGATCCAAGGTCTTTTGTAGGACTATGGAAGTTTGTTTAATCCTCAGTAATCTTCTCTGCCCAGGTTTGCACAATGCAGGAAGCCAGGCAATCCCCCTCTCCCGGTTTGGGTTGCATATACATCTGACATGCAGACTGTTGCTCCTGAGGGTAAAATAGTGTTCATGAATTGGCCCAGAGTCTGATGTTGTCCTCAGAGAGGTGAAAGGGTAGAAGATTGTTTTGCTGCTTTTGGAAGTCATGAGTCACCCTGTTTTAATTGTACACCTCTTGGGGAGCCCTATGGGCTATAGGGTGGTTTATAACTATAATAAATAAATGAGTCCAAAAGTTCTGAGGGAGAAGGACACCCTCAGTCATCAATATTATGGAGAATCTGGCAGATATCTGAATAGGGCAACCCAATGCATGTTTACGTTGGAATGTTAGAAACCACCTTATTGATTTTATCTAGGACCTTTTGCCTGCAAAGCAAGTGCATTACCACTGAGTTAAAACTTGCATCCTTACTTGGAAATGTCCCAACTCTCTCTAATAGAGCATAGTTTCTAGTAATTGCATTTAGGGTTTGAATCTATTATTCTTGTTACTTTTTCTTAAATCCTGGGCAAAGCATGTTCTTACAGAAGCCAGTTCAAATACCTGTTGGGATGGGTCCTGGAGAAACTAGGTAAGGTTGTGGAAGGACTGAAGGAGGGCTTTAAAAAGGGATAAGTAAGAAGAGGATGGGGTAAAAGTTGGAAATTAGAGGTATTGAAGTAAAGGCTGTTTTAGTTATTGCATAGACTCTGGAACTGGAAAGGCCGTATAATCCATATACGTATATCATTTGATTCAACTCGGTGGATTTAGATTCATTTATCTCAATCGATTTAGAGCTTCATATCAAAAGATTTTGGGTTACACAATCATGCTAGATAAGTAGCTGTCTTCAAAACTGGCCAGAAGCTTCAGCCAGCAGTTACCCAGGGCCAGTTACAGGAAGCATGCTGTTAAAGCAGCTTCACTGGCTACAGGTCTGTTTTCAGGAGGAATTCAAAGTGCTAGTTATGCTCCATAAAGTCCCATATGACTTGGAGCCATGTTGCCTTTCAGACTGCATTCTCCCATGAGCCCTGTCCAGTACATTAAACTTCTGGAGTGGCCTTTATATTGAGACTGTGGCTATCAGAGGTACATTTGATGGTGGCAGAAGAGGGTGCTGCCAAGTTGTGGAACTCCCCCTCAAGGAATGCTAGGTCTGCACCCTTTCTGGTGTCTTTTTGCTAGCAGACAACAGCAGCTTTATTCAAGAAGGCATTTGATTGTAAGTGGGTCTGTCTGAATTGGGTACTTTCTTGTATTTAAATCTGCAACTTTTATTTTTATTGCATTTTAATGCATCATTTCACTGTTAGAATAAGTTTGTTCAAGTTGTACTTCTAAGTTGACCTTCATAGGTTTTTTTTATAGAAAGGTGGGTCTTATAAATAGATGTGTCATAGCTGTGCACACTTTCTTTACTTAGAGTGATTTATTTGCCCTGCTTGAAAACACAGATTCAGAGGGCTACAGAGACATGGTTTTTCACATCTTCCTCCTCTTAGCTTTTTAAACTGATTATGTTTTAAACAATGCAAATTAATTCTGCTTCATTTTGCAAATGAAATGGCATTCCAGTTCTCTTAAACTTTCCAAGCAATTGCTCTTTTGACAACTAGATTAAACATTTTTCTTGAATGAGCTAAAAAGGCTATCACTTCTGTTGTGTCTTTATTTCCATAAGATGTTTTTAAATGAAATCTGAGTTTAGGAAGGAAATGCCATTAAAATTAAGGTGGAGTGATTTGAACTGTATTTTCCAGTTTGAAATTTGTATGCCTAAGCAGTTTTGAAATATATTTTATAAAATACATTTTGATTTGTGTAAATTGTCTCAAAAATTTGGGCTATTGTGTAATATAGAAATGTAGGAAATGAAATGGAAAAATGCATTGGAAATTTCAAAAGTATTTTACTGTAACTGATTTGGGAAGCAATCTTGTTGTTGCCAGACACTTGTCTAGGCAACCATAGGAAAGGTTGGAGCTCTGTTTTCAAGTTCAGGAACATGTGGGGACAGAGCACTGCTAACTTTATGTCTATCTGTATGTACTTACTAATTTAAGCTTGTTTTTATTAAATTCAGATACTACGATCAGCTGTGTTCCATAGAACCAAAATTCCCTTTTTCTGAAAATCAGGTAATACATTATATTTCTTAAATATTGCTTTAATATGCTATAAAAGAAAGTAGCTGAAAGATGGCAGGAGGAAGCAATTTCTGAATGGATTACTGAGTCATACTTTTATAATCATGGGGCTAATTCTATAAGTCGTATACCTTGATTCCTTGAAGAGCAATAACAACATTTTTGTATAGTTGTTGAAATGTAGACTAAGAAAGAGTGGGTATAACTCAGCCAAATATTTGATGATCATTAGTTTCACAAGATATTTAAGTATATTTTTGCATCTGTTCCACAGAAATCAGTGTGTATCCAGTGTGCTTAATTTTGCTTAATATGCCTGTAATTTTTGGTCTGGAGTAAAGGCTCAGATGTGAAAAAGTTCTGATGTGTTTGTGCTGCTAAACAGTTTGTTGTAAATGTAGTTTTTGCTGTGTTCATAGCATTCTGTTTAAAAAAGTATTGCTCTTGTCCTAATACAATTTTCTGTATTAATATATAATTATTTTCTCCATAAGAGTCACACTTTAATCTGTGAGCCAGTTTGCATGTAATGACAGTCTGCTGGTTAAACAATGCATGGGCTGTTACACATGAGCAAGAGAAAGTGGACATGCTGATTAAAAGTGGAAGTTGTAGTCATGCAAAAGGCAGCATCTTATGATCAACTACTCACTGGTTGTTGGGTGTGGCATGTATACCAGGTGCAATAGAGCCATGGTTTGTTGGAGAGTTAACAGTTTCATGCATTGTGCTCAACAACCTACAAAAAGACAAACTGGGGGTTTGTTTGGTTTTTGAAAAATCAGAAATATCATGCATGGAGGGTAGCAGTGTTCTCCCATGTTCATCCCAGATAATAAGTTGTTTAGCCCATGACCTGTTGTTGCATGCAGCCAAATTACTGTATGGCAATATATGAAAACATATTGTCAAACAACTATCTCTAAAATTTGAAATTAACATACTCTTCTTATACGTCTAGATCTGTGTAACTTTTACCTGGAAAGATGCTTTTGACAAAGGCTCACTCTTTGGAGGATCCGTCAAACTTGGTAAGTGGCTGTTACAGGAAAAAAAAAAGATAGAGTAGACTTTGTAGTGCTGAGATGCAGAAAACTAACTGAAATATAAGCAACATCCCAATTTATAATACTTTTGAGCATCCTATAATGAAAATTACATCTGAACAAAGTTTTATCTTTATATTGACAACTTAGGCTTCAGAGTTTGGTAGTAGTTATAGAATATAGTTAATAAAAATTGTTGAACCTTTAGTAAGGTTGTCTGTGGTAATCAGATGTTCTAACCTGTTCAAATCAGATTTTCTAACCTCAAACCAATCATTGATGATAATTCTGCACCCAGAAGTGTTAAAGGATATATCCTTACCCATTTGCTGTTTTATTTCCCATCTCAGTTATCTTAATAGTGTTCCTAATGTCACCGATTACTACTTTCAAAAACGTGGTGACAGAAAAGTTGTCCCAAACCTGATCACAAAAAGGCTTTTGACCTCTTGTTGCTATCTAAGCTGATCTGTGTAGAGGACAGTTAGGGTATCTGAATGGTGATGCCTTCCTGTTCTATAGATCAATGTTAATGCACAGTCTCCAGTATCTGCTCTCTAATGCACACTCTTTGACAGTTTGAATGTGGCTAAAGCCAACATAACACTGAATTGTTCCAGAATGTATAACACCAGTTTGCATCCTAGCAGCCTTATTACTCCCTTTTTATTTCTTCAGTTACCTTGCTGGCCCCAAGTGATATAAAGTGACATTAAGTAGTTAGTTGTATTCCCATAAACAAGCAGAACCTGAAAGGGAGTTTATGGGCACCCGGGGGCCCACACCCATATATGTACTTTCATAAACTTTGAAAGAAGATACCTGTCATGACAAATTGGCTATTTTTTATGCAAGTAGAATCTTTTATTAGCAGTTCAGACATGTCTAATGGAGCAGGGTCTCTGCTAATTATCTAAGAGGACAAGGAAGGCTATGTGGGGAAAGGCTGTTGTAACAAAGCTGTGCCTACAACTAATTTGTGTGGTAAGCCAGTTGTGCATCCTTCCATGTTTCTTCATTAGAAGAAGGCTAGAGCGCCAAGCCAGTTGCCTATCCATTACTGTGGGTAAAGGTAGATTGCTTTTGTTTTATGTCCTTTAGGCCAAAATGTAACTCCAAATGGCTTAGCTTGGTGGAAGGGGTAGGGAGAGTTCTTTGGCCTGCCACCAGCTTATTCAAAAATAAAACACAATGTTATTAAGAGTAAAATTAAAATAGCATTTTATTGAGAATAAAGTAAGGGATAACATGGTAATTTAAGGAAATAAACTAATGTTCAGTAGTTTGCTACATCTCACTAAATCTTTTTACACACATGCACATGGGTTGTCCAGATTGATTCATTGTACAGCATTGTAGATGGTCAGGGGAGAGTAGAAAGGGCTAAGGGGAACATAGCCTATATTATGTTTAGCCAGGGTGTCCAGGCAACGCAGGCAAAGAAGCTCTACCAGTCTGTTGTGAAAGTACTGTATTCCTGATTATGCATTGCTCATCTGTTTGACAGAACCTGTTTGCTCTGTGCCACCTGACAAAATGGTGCTAGCAGATGAAAGGCACTAAGCTGTTAATTAAAACAGACACTTCTCTGGCTGGCTTGATGCCTTCAAGACTTTCCATTTGTGGACGTGGAATTTGGACAAGACATTGGGAGCAATGAATATTAGATCTCTTAATCAAGAATACAGTTTCATTTAAAGGGGCATGCACTGGAATGGCAAGCTTCAGCAGTTCTTTAAATATCCCTATCCAAAATATTTAGGAGCTTTAAGGATGGTCATCAGTGCTGATGTGTGTTTGAAAACAGACCAGAAACCTAAGATAATTGGTTTTGCTTTTCTAAGGGAGATGTTTAATGCTAATTTTACAAAGTTCATGTGTATACAGTCTCATTGGAACATACTTGTTAATTTCTGCTTACAGTTTCCTTAATTTTTACAAACTTCATGACTGTCTCATTTGTTGTTAAGGATGCTCTTTTGTGTGTATTTTGTTTCAGCTTTGGCAAGTCTGGGCTATGAAAAGACATGTGTGTTGTTTAATTGTGGTGCATTGGCTAGCCAGATAGCATCAGAACAGAATCTTGACAATGATGAAGGATTGAAAGCTGCAGCAAAACATTATCAGGTATTACTTTTTTCTCTGTTTAATAGGTTATTGAAATTGCTAGTTATTAGATTGAAATATTGTATCTTAAGTTTGTATACTTGTAAGGTTCTAGGTGTGTTGGAGAATAAACTGTATCACCCCAGGTAGTAGTGGATGTACCGTGGATATTTTTAGATTGGAATCTGGGAAACCTGGATTTGAGTTAAGGTTTAACCATAGATTTATGTTCATTTCAAGCTTGTTTTTGTTGCTCAGATAGTGAACCAAGATACTGTGGTATGTGTTTACCAGAAAGTTCTTTGTACGTCTCATAGAAAGTATAGGGAGAATTGAATGTTCGTATTCATGTAGCAGGAGTTATGCCACAGTACTCCCACACTGTATTTGAAAATTGAGGAAATATGTAGTGGGATCAAACTTGAAATCATTTAGAGAAAGTGAAGGGGAATGTCTTGACATGTTTTTGAAAGGACCAAGCAGTGGAGACTAGTGCATATGTTCTAACATTGAAGTCATTTAGGGATAGTGGAAGAAAATATTTTTGCATCAGTTATCTGAAGTGGAAAACCTTCCAATGCTTAATTTTTCCATGGAAACAGTTCTGTTTCATAAGTTCATTAGCAACAAAGAATGGTTGCCAGTAGCAAAAATGCTATTAGGCAACTTGGCAGTCTCAGAGTTGCAATTGATTTTTTTCAGGTGATTGTTTCTAGCAAGTATTTGAGAAACTACATACATGTCATTGAAACACATATCTCAGTAAGAAATAGAACTGATCAGTAGTAGCCATGGAACTGAAGGAGTCTCAGCCTCAGTGGAAGAGGATTAAACTATATTGAAATAAATGAGTGGTTGTCAACACATCATGCACAGTTCTTTGGGCTCCTAAAATTTTTAGTGCGGAATTTCCCCTTCCTTCCCTTATAAACAATACAAGGGAAGTCCATGCTGTTGTTTTTACATTTTTACAAATACTCCAATAAGATTCCTACTTAATTATGTTTAAATCACAGTAAGTGTTGTTTACTCTCCCCCTCAAATATTTCAGGTTAAATATTTGTGGTGTATTGGGGCAAAAATAACATGGGACACTTATTTTAGCTTTGCTTACTTAAAAGCAAGTAGAATAAACATGCTAAATTATATCACTGTCTAGGCAGGGTGAGCAACATAGAGGTTATATGCAGTAAGGAAAAATTGCCTCTTTAAAAGCCAGAAGCACTGGTTTGCCATTTAAATTTGGTAAAATGGTAGCAAAAATAATATTTTAAATCAAAATGGCCCTTCCCCAGTATACTGCTTTTGGCTTTAAAAGGGAAGCTATTTTTTCTTGCTGCTGTTGCCATGCTAGTAAATGTCAGTGGACAGGGGCAATATGGCTCCGTGTCCCCTGGTAGTTGCCTACCCAGGTTCTAGGACAACAGAAACATCTTGAAACATCTTGAAGCTAATTATAAGTCTGTTGCAAATAGCGCATTGCAGATTCTCCAGTTTATAACTTTCCAGAAAGCCAGGCTCATTTATTGATGTCTTTTCTATTAAATGGTCTCCTGAAATGCTGCATAGCTTTCTTGCCCACTGATACAGACATCTATATGATTTTTAATATTTTGAGCAAACAAGCTTCAAGGATGGCATCCCTTATAAACTCAGGAACAAAAAGGTTCCATGTTAAGGAGCATTATTTTGTTGTGGTCTTTTACAGCATTCTTGGATTCTGTATGTAGCTCCCCAAACTGTAGTTTAAATATGCTGTACAAAGAAATAGTTTGCCAGTTTTCTTAAGGTGCAATCTTATTCTTATCACTAGCAATGTCTTGTTAATACCAACTGTTAAGGTACTTTTCACGTCTGTTCTATTTACATTTTAAGTAGATGCATCCTCTCTGCATGTGTATATAAATACATAAGTTTGAGGTTAACATGCCACAAGAAGTTGTGCTAGCCTTTAACTGTGCACTCCTATGCATGGTCATAGAGCAAAACATCCTACAACTCTGAGCATTCTGCAGCCAGCATTCCTCTAGGGAATTATGGAACTTTTTCCTGTCCAAACACGGAAATATGTATAGTCTTGCACCTTTAAACTATATTTTTATGTGAGGTAAGAGTTCCTTTATGCAGATCAGCTTAGTAGTAAAACAAGATACAACCAGGCCTTATTATATTGTTAAGATAAGTAGCTTGTTTAGCTTCTAACACAGGTCATTACCAAACTGCAAACCAAACGGCATGTCTGTACATAAGATTTTTATACCATTGCTTGTGCTAAACATCTGGCATGATGCACTTTTGTTTAAAACCATGTTGCATATTAAGGAATTCTTTCTCTAAGGGTGCTACCCACAAGACACATGTGATTTGAATGGGAAGTATGCAGCTTAACATGTGCAGACTGGCAGCTTTAGACGTTTATGTTAGTAACTTATTTTTCAGTGTTCAGATTTTTCAGTTATATTAAAATAGTACCAATATGTTCATGCTATTTTTCGTGGTGATATCAGATATGCATCTATAATATATTATTTTCTCAAGTTTGCTAGCGGTGCCTTCCAGCATGTAAAAGATACTGTCCTGTCTTCGCTAAACCGTGAACCTACAGTGGACATTGCCCCAGATACAGTAAGCACTCTGAGTCTAATTATGCTGGCCCAAGCTCAAGAAGTCTTTTTTCTAAAAGCTACCAGAGGTATGTCATGGAATTTACTACTTGGAAATTTTAGATTCTAAAAATTTCTTTTGCTAGTGCTATGGAATACTAATTATTTCTGCTCAAAACATCAAATTCAGCTGAAGAAGACTGGGGGAATATTTTGCAAGTTATAATTTTGTGGCACCAGAGTGAAATCTTTAAATCTAATACCTGTATATTTAATGTAGTTGCTTCTGCAGAGGAAAAATGCTTTGTCAAAACTGGATACCAAACTCCAAGCTTTCATCAGAAACACAGATGGATCCCCTTTACAATTGCCAATATATTTTTAGTAGCTAAGATGACTTAGAGAAGTACTACAGTGATTTTAAAAATGTAGTCTGAAACTGCCCTAATACAAGGTAAATACTTATTCTGTGGTTTTATCCTTAGCCTTCATATTTGAAGGGAGAGAATCATTTATAGGTAGTTTCTTAAAATATCTTAGAGCACTGTGGTTTCCAGATGTAGCCACCAGAGGCTTCTAATGCAGCTACAAAGGCACCAATTGTTTCACTGACTTTCATGGCCCACTTATGTCCAATGTGGCTACAACCATGTATAGTTTGTGGTCTTGCCTGCAGCTGCAGTTAAAAACATTTTGAGAATCACTGACTTCAGTTGTTTCTCCCCCCCCCCCCCAATTTCCTACTTATTTTATGCTTAATATAAAAATTACTTTAGCCACTTGAAATGCATGCTTTTCATTTTTTATTTTTACTTACATATTTATGGCAAGCCCCTCAAAAATAAACTTTTCACCGTGGAAATCTTCAGCTCTCTCTGAAATCCAGTGGATAAAAACAGCAAAACAGATCGATCGCTGTTCAATAATATTATGCTTTTCTGAACAATTAGCAAATTCATGAGGATTAGTAAGTTTCAAAAGCATTGACTCTTATAGCATTTGTTCATATATACATAGAAAGAGGGAAAAGCAATGGTCAGCGTAGGCCTTTCAGAGGTGTAGCTCCCATTTGGCCATCTCCCATGCATATTTGAGGCTCTAGTGCTGCAGTATTTCATTCACATAACAAAATTAGCACATGAATTTAAAGCATGGGATTCAAAACAATGATGTAACTAGAACCTGCAAATCCTCAAGACTTTTCTTCCAAGCTTGCTTTGCAAATGCAGAATGTAATCAGACTTGGGTTTGAAACAGTACTGCTTGAAGGAGATTTTAAGAGTTTTTATTTCTGTGTTTCTGAATAAAAGACATCTTTTATTCTTGACTTCAAAAAGCTTTGAATATGCTGCTTTAGACATTGTGTTCTAATAACTTTTGAAAACATAACACTGTGGCTGCTTTAGCATATAGAAAACATTCAGAACTGAAACACTATAGAATGTGTGGTCTGTCTTAATATGATTTTTTCTTTTTTTAGTTGAATATATGAAACTATCTCAGTTACTGAATAGCTTTGAAAAGTGACACCAACTTTATTTTATTTTAGATAAAATGAAAGATGCCATCATAGCCAAACTTGCAAATCAAGCTGCTGATTACTATGGAGATGCATTCAAGCAGTGTCAGTACAAGGATACCTTACCCAAGGTTGGTAATTCTATAGTAAAGACTGCATAAGAAGACTAAAAGCATGCTATGAATTGAAATGGTTAAATCTTTGAGCTTGCCAGTGGTATTATCAAGTACATGATAATCCTTGCTTGACATTTGGAGGGTGGGCAGAATGGAGACATGTAATTAAATTTTGTATGACAGGATATGAAACCAGTACTTATGGATTCATACCAAGCTTGTTTGCTTTAACAATGAAAATATATCTTTCAGATAGAATTCAATTTTATTTAACATAGGGCATTTATCTCTGTCTCTTTGTTGATTTGCTTGCTAAAAATGATTTCAAACTAACATGCTTGCTAATGAAATTTCTCTTTACTCTTTAATGTTCTCTTCCATAACCTAGGAAACTCACCTTGGGATAGACTTGATAGCAGTATGAGTGCTCTGTTGCTTCATTTCCTGACTTTCTGAAATATAGGGAATGAGAACAGAACTAGAAAAAACACTAAATTAGTAGCGTTTGCCTACTGAATTATTATTTGATAGAAACATCAGCTCTAAAACCTATTTAAGGGACATGGTTTCCCTGTGTAGAATATTCTGTGTAAACATTGTTTTTTTAACTTTGATTTACATTGTTTTTTTAAGGGATAAGATATAACTTTAGACCATACATTGCTTTGGTTAAGGATTGCTGCCAACTTTTCAAGACACACCTGAATCACCCTTGGGAGTAAGTTCTGTGGAAAGCATTATAGAGATTTTAATAACCAGTTAGTTTCTACTTGCAATATATAGCTTCTTGATAGTGTTCTGGGGCCTAGATTATATAGGATTAAGCAAGTTTTGGTTTTTGATACACAATTCAGTAATGATGACTCTTAGTCATTGTTTCTTTTTATCCTGCAATTGCCTGTATGGTAAAGTGACATGGTAATTATACTGTATCACTTTGGATTGCAGGTACAATTTGATTTTTATACAGCTTTCCATCTTGTTAAACAGTTTGATAGAAGAAAAGGCATGTAGCAGCCCATTCCTGTTGTTCTGATTTTTTTCATCAGATTTTTTTATATGTAACTTTTTAAAGAAAAAATACACATAGGGAAGTGTTCTGAAAACTGTTATCTTCCACCTGATGTGGTAGTCTTATTTTATAATCACATGTTGCTGCATATATAGATCAGGCTTAAGACTTGCTTGGAAAGAATAATGATTATGCTTAAGGTTTCAGTTCTTGAACTACAAGCATTTTCAGAAAGTTAGCAAGTGAGTATTATTGCAGGTGAAGTAATTATAAGCTGCTTCAACAATTGCACCCATCTTATTTAAAGGGCTAGTTTATATATGCATCCTATTCCATGTCACCACATACAGTATATCCAGGATGTACACTCTCACCATGCTAACTGGGAGTTCACATAGATACTCAACATGGATTCCATAATTCTTTGTACCAATTTATGTACCAAGAAGATCGCACAGTATCTTTGTGTGCCTGAGCCATTTCAGTAGTTCCATGTATAAAAATAAAGTTGCCTAAATGCAATCAAACTCATAAACTAATTAAAAATGTTTCAAATTTAAATAAACAGCACAGTACTCATACTTGCACCGAACTTAATTCAAAAAAGTCACATGGGTCTCCTTCACTCCTCATGTCTTATCTAAACTATTAATTGGGTGACTAATATCCTGTTCTTCTTCCTCTTTCTTCCTGCATCCCATGTTGTCTGTGATGGTTTATGTGGTTGGACTTTTCCCCTGGTCAGTATTTTTATTTCCAGGAAGTGTTTCCTCTTCTGGCTGCAAAACACTGCATAATGCAGGCCAATGCAGAGTATCATCAGTCCATACTGGCAAAGCAACAAAAGAAATTTGGTGAAGAAATTGCAAGATTACAGGTGGGTAACTTAAATTCCTTTCTTTAAAAAAAGTGGGGCAGGGGAGAGAGAGAGAGTTCAATGAATGTTACCTTTATCTTGAGCATGGGACAGTTTCAGTAAATTAAGAAAGACAGTTATTTTTTTCAGTTTTTTTCTTTGATTTGTTCATGTTTTGCATCAACTGACATTAGACACACATTTCACAATAAAAGCCCAATTTCACAATAAAAGCCCAACAATAGCCTAATTATACCTAATGTTAATTAGTTCATGGTTCATCATGACAGAGTGATGTCTGTAGACAGAATATTAATATTTCTGAATTAGGATTGTTATCTGAAAAATGCCCTTTTAACCTTCTAGACAGCCTTCATTTTATGACTTCTGAGGCAGTGGGTGTGTTCATCATGCTAACCCACACTGCCCATAAGCCACAATGGCTTGGCTTATTTTTTTAAACAGTGCATGGTGTGCTTGGCAGGCAATCAGGCTTACTTTGGGTTGTTCGTTCCCTCCTACCCTCTCAGTTCTCTGATTCTGAAATGTATCCTAGTGCTTTTTGCAGCAGAATCTATCTTGTCTCTCCCTCTCCAACTCTGCCCATTATCCATTTTCATTCTCCCCCATTCTGTTTTCTGTTCCTGAAAATTGTATAGCTGTGTTCATAATATTTTGTCAATCTTCCTCAAGTGTCAAATACATGCCATCTTGTAGGTTAATTTTCTTGTTTCAGCTGTCAAAGGGGACAGGGAAGAGGAGTAGGTAACGGACAAGGAAATTGACTGGGTGAGACTGCATATCGGTTAATGTATGCATAGTTGCCAAATTGCCAAAGGGATAACAGTGGTGAAAGAAATGTGCATCCAAAGGGGTTAACAATAACAATGTAATCCTCTATACTTCAAGTGTTGAAAGGTGTTCTCAGTGCCTCTACCTTTTCAACACTTTTCTGAGTCTCCAGCTAGTCCAGAAACTGGAAATATTATTTCCCTCTCCCTTTTTCTGCCTGCTAGTTGGAGAATTTATTGTGGTTTCCTGGTAGTTCTAAAAGAAAAAAGCCCAGAGGTCTAATAAGTGTAAGCCAGTAGCCAGCATTCTCTCTTCCTGGGCAAGATGCTTGAGTGGGTGGTGGTTGAACAGCTCCAGGTACTCTTCAGTGAATGGATTATCTAGATCCATTTCAATCAGGCTTCAGGTTATACAAAATGCTAGTAACAGATACGGGAAAAGCTGCAATCAGCATGACTCCAAATTGAAATGCGCAGTGGGTTCTATATACTAAGAGCAGACATGAAACAGTTTTTACTCTGGTTTGTTCCAATCACATTTCATCACTACTGTGTGGTATTTAAGCAAACATCCTAAGAATGTTTCAATTTCAAGTATAGGCTGATGGGATCTGTGCTAACTTGACTGATCAGGAAGGGATGTTGGGGTCGTCACTGACAGCTTGATGAAAGTATTGACTCAGTGTACAACTGGTGTGAAAAAGGCAAACTCCATTTTGGGCAAAATTAGGAATGAAATACTAAATAGAACTGTTAAGATCATACACCCATTATACAAATCTTTGCTGTGACTGCACCTAGAATATTGTGTACAATTTTGGTTGCCTTGAAGGAAATACTGATTTGGAAAAAGTGCAAAGGACAACTAAAATTATCAAGGGGCTGGAGCAACTCCTTTGTGAGGGGCAGCTAGAACAACTGGGAACTAGCTTAGATGAATAAGGGAGGCATGGCAGAGGTGTTTAAAATTATGCATGGTATGGAAAAAGTGGAGAAGGAGACATTTTTCTCCTTTTCCCACAGTACTAGAATCCTGGGTCATCCCATGAAGCTGACATAAAATTAAACCATGGAATTCACTGCCTCAGGAAGTGCTGATTGGACAAATTCAGGGGGGAGGAGGCTATAATTGGCTACTAGCCTTGCTGGCCATGTGCTGCCTCCTTTAACAGAGACCGCATACCTGCATACATACATCTCTGAGGTGGAGGTCTTGTACCCAGCCTGCTTGAGAGATCTTGTGGACAGCTGCTTTGCCAACGTGTGAACAAAATACTGGACTGCATGGACCTTCTGTCTGATCCAACATGGCTTTACTTATGGTCTAATGGTGTAGCAGGCAAGGCAGTGGTAACACAGTGATACCTTTTCACCACTGCTTACAGAAATTAAAAAAAATAAAATAAAATAAGCCCCTTGTTTTAAGGAGGGAGTTTTCTTCCGTAAAGTCAAGAAATAATTGCAAATAAAATATCATTGCTTAATTTAGTGGCTTCCAAACTGACAAGAAAGAAAGGCTAATGTGAATGAGTGTGTGTGTACACATACAAACATATCTGAGTATACATGTACGAGTGCATAGGCAGACACATAGACTACATACTTCACATGTAGTTCCTATTCTCATACTTTCTGTACCTTTTTGGCTTGTAGCAAAAGGTGGTGTCTGCTGCTATTTCTGCAGTAGATAATTTTCTTTTAAAAATAACTGTCTTTCCGCCTAATGAACTGTATAGTTTGGGAACAGTATGCATGCTTGAGGGTTCCAAGAAAAATATTTTGTTGAATGTTTTGAGTGGGAAATTTGATTTTGCATGAGGCAGTAATGTATCTTTCATTTCATAATTATCTATCATGTAGACATGCCTTTTAAAATGACTATCAGAATTAGATTAAGTAGATTTGCATATCAGTATTTTTTAAGATTCTTAAAACTTTTGCAAATTATTTTGTACTTGCCTAGCAAACATATTGTGTATTCTTCAGCCAGAGATGTTACCTTTAGCAGATGCTTTCACTTAAAGCAGATGTTATAGAAAGTGGGTGTTAAATTCAACTTTATTTTTCATTTAGCATGCTGCCGATCTAGTAAAAACAGTGGCATCTCGTGATGAATATATAAATGTAAAAGAATTGTCTGACAAAATCAGCCGTGCACTTACAGCTGCTAAGAAGGACAATGACTTCATCTATCATGATAGGATTCCTGATCTTAAAGATTTAGAGCCTATTGGAAAAGCCAGTCTTGTGAAAGCTACTCCAGTGGTTGTTCCTCTGAGTCAGAAATTTACTGGTAAGTGCATTTACTACCACAGTCTAACATTTTGCAGGTAACATGTTATTTCCATTATAATGTTTTGACTGTTTTTAGGCTTATCTTTTCTTTAGATAGCAGGGGGTGGGATATCTTTCCGTGTTAATCTCCTAATGTCTAGTAGGTCAGCCATTTTCCCATTTTGTAAATGGGAAACATACTTCTGATAGAATTAGGCTTGATTGCCCATCCCACTCAGATATTATCACTCAACTTAGATTTGAACCTTACAGGATGCACTTGCAGTAACCCTGTTCTAAACCACATAAGTGCTAACGTTTCCTTACACTTGAAAGGTGGGCTAGGTTCCTCTGTATCTAGAACTTTATGCTGATGGAACATGGAAGTACTGATCTATAATCTTCTCACTTCTGGTCGCCCTTTGTGGAATGAGTAGAAAGGTAAACTTTACATCTGTAGAGTGTTGATGATAACATACGCAAACCTTGCAGACTGCAAAACTTCTTATTCAGCAATAACTATGTAAGATCTAAATTTCTTACAAGTAAATTACTGTATATCTGCCTTGACAAATGTAGGATGGTAGGGTGGCATTGCTTCCATGCTAACGGTGATGAAGCAGTCTGAGTGCTGTAGGCTATGCTCATCTAATGATGTTGCAGTAGTATCATAGGAGTCAAGAAGCATAAGTGCTTCATGGTGCCCAAGTAAGACTAGGCTGTCTTTTAGCAACATATGTGATAGCTGGAGGTAGGAATGGGCTCTGTGCTGTTCTGCATTGATAGAGTCCTCTTTACATGTGCACATATATACTTGCTCTTAAACTGGAGCTCAAGAGAAGCAATAAGCTTAAATACTGATTCTTTGCCTGTGTGGAGGTTACTACTTTGAGATTAAGGCTTTCCTTTCTTGGAAGGCTATGAAGAATATGTGCTGTTGGTTTGGTATTTTTATATAAGTACCTTGGCAGGAGTTAAGGTAGTTATAAGAGTGCTTTTTTCGTTCTAGATTTGTTTGAGAAGATGGTTCCTTTGGCAGTGCAACAAGCTCTTACCCTCTACAACCAAAGAAAGGCAGATTTGGTTAACAGATCAATCGCCCAGATGAGAGAGGCCACCAATCTGGCAAACGGGTGAGATGAATATTCTGGTGTCTGACTTTGTAAAACAGTGGTTTGATTCAAGAGAGATCTTGGACAAGCAGATTTTACTTGGCAAAGGCAGCTCTGCCCAATTCCTTCCATATCTTTTAATTTGCTGTAGTCACCAATTCGACCCTTCTCTGCTGTTCCATAGGGTCTAATGACATTCAGTGCTTGAAGAGGGGCACAAGTGGGCTGCACTGGGAATGGGGACAGGAGCAGGAAAGCCGTGTTGCATGAGTGGAGTGCCACTTGATCATCTTTGGTCCACTGGGTTGGAGCTGGTCTAATTTAGTTACACTTAAATATTATTACAGTCAATGGGAAAACTTAATCACGACTGAATCTCATTAATTGCAGTGGTAACTCCGAGGAACAGACTTTTCCTGCATCTAACTTACTGTAGTGAAGATGCTGATGGGGAAAACTAAGTTCAGTTCCTGTAAAGATCTTGATGACTTTTTAATTTATATATTGCTGACACTGGCTATGGAGTTTGGAGGGTGCAAGAGTACTAAATTAAATCAATTAATGAGTATTCATTAGCAGCAATGCTTTTCAAATGCTTACATGTGACAGAAAGCGCAATCAACATTTTGGCTATTGCTTCTCTATTGTGATGGCAAAGAATGATAGCAAAGCATAATTTTCTCAGAAGTGGGAACGCTAACACCAGTGAAACATGTGACTGGTGTCAAGTGACTTTGAAGCTGGTTGATACAAAATGAAATTGTACCTTGTTCTTCTCAGAGTGCTGGCATCCCTCAATCTCCCTGCTGCTATAGAAGATGTCTCTGGCGATAGTGTTCCCCAATCCATTCTGCAGAAATCTAAGTCTATGATTGAACAGGGAGGTGTCCAGACAATTGATCAGTTGATGAAAGATCTTCCTGAACTACTGCAGAGAAACAGAGAGATTTTAGATGAGGTAAGTGTACAATAGTGATGGACAGCAGCATTGCTCCTTTTTGCCATGGTAGTGGCACAACTTGAGCTGATAAAATCGTAGAAGCAGTTATTTTATTTTTGATTTATTTATTTATTTGATTTATTTATTTATGTTGCAATTTATATCCTGCCTTTTTCCTACAAAGGGCTCAAGGCAGCTTACATCTCCTCCTCCATCTTATCCCCACAACAACAACCCTGTGAGGTAGGTTGGGCTGAGAGTCTGTGACTGGCCCAAAGTCACCCAGTTGGCTCCATGGCTGAGCGGGGACTAGAACCCAGATCGTCTGAGTCCCAGTCCCAGGCTTTTAACCACTACACCACACTGGCTCTCACCATTTTACTGGGTTATAAAACATCAGTGTGCTTGTCTAATTCTCATAAATATTGTTCACATGCACATCCATTCTCTCATTTTAAAGAGGCCGTTAGTCATATTCCTCCTATTGATGAGTTCATTGAAATTTCATTGGGTTCATTGAGCTGGATCTTAGCTTAATTTGGGTCCATTTGAAATCAGTGGGACATGTTAGTTCCGGCTTAAGTTTGTTCCCATTGAAATCAATGGCTTGAAGCCATAATTAATTTAGCTAGTTGATGTTAGTGGAGTCTAAGCCCAGCTAACTTGGGCTGAACCCGGCACTTTGTTATAATGTAAGCCATTTTAATTTGAAATACTTAAAAAAATCACTTTTAGTCTCTAAGGATATTGGATGAAGAAGAAGCAACTGACAATGAACTACGAAACAAGTTCAAGGAACGTTGGCAAAGAACGCCATCAAATGACCTTTACAAGCCTTTGAGAGCAGGTAATATTTACATCACTGTTAATTGTATCTTTGCTGGGATGTGCTCTCTCCCTCCTTTCCTCCATGTGCGTGCACGTGTGTATGTATATATACAGCTACATTATCTGTTGAGCCTTATCTGAAAAGGTACTGGTGTATCATTTTATTCTTTTTATTTATTTAAAACATTTATATGCTGTCCTTTATGACAACGTCTCAGGATGGCTTACAACATTAACATCAAGAACAACGATAAAAAGAATCCATAGGCAATAACAATAAATAGGAATAATAAATAGTTAATAAAATACAGATAAAGTTAAATAAAAGAAATAAAAGAAAGTGACTGTTACCTTCTAAAATCAGTGGTTCTTAAAATAGTGTTCGAATAAAAAGGTTTTCACCTGGTGCCAAAAAGAATATAAATGTGGTGCCTGGCAAACCTCTCTGGTGAGCGTACTCCACAGTCTGGGTGCCACTGCGGAGAAGGCCCTACTCCAAGTAGATAACATCTTTATCTCTTTCAGGGAGGGTTCCCTGAGCAGGGCCTCTCCCACAGATCTTAAGGGGCATGAGGGCATATAAGGAAGGAGATAATTTATTTATTTATTTGGAATTTTTGTATGCCGTCCCATTTGCATAAGCCTCGGGACAGCTTCCAACATCATAAACAAACTATCAGATAAGTACATATAAAATTTGGATTCATCCTGGCTAAAATTTTAAAACCAATAAATAATATTAACAATTATTAAGATATCGTTTAAATAAAAAGGTCTTGGCCTGGCGCTGAAAAACAAATAACAATGGCGCCTGGCATACCTTTCTGGGGAGCGCATTCCATAAGTGGGGCGCCACCGCAGAGAAAGCCCTCCTCTGGGTACTCGCCCTCCTAATATCTTTCACGGAGGGTTCCTGGAGGAGGGCCTCTGCCGCTGATCTCAAGGGGCGGGAGGGCAAATAATACGTTCCTTCAGGTATCCTGGTCCCAAGCCATTTAGGGCTTTATAGGTTAATACCAGCACCTTGAATTGGGCCTGGACTTCAACTGGAAGCCAATGGAGCTGGTAGAGGACTGGCGTTAAATTAGCAACCTGGCTTTGTACCAGTTGAAGTATTCAGACCATGTTTAAGGGCAGCCCCACATAGAGCATGTTACAATAATTCAGTCGGGAAGTTACCAGGGCATGTATCACCATTGCTAGGCAGTGCTCGTCCAGGTAAGGATGCAGCTGATGGACCAGCCAAACCTGGAAGAAGGCACTCCTTGCCACCGCCACCACCTGGGTCTCCAGTGACAGTTCTGAATTAAGGAGCACTCCTAAGCTGCGGACCCTGTCCTTTAGAGGGAGTGCTGCCCCATCCAGGATAGAGTCAAAGTCACTTACCTGAAAGCCTGAACCACCCACCGGCAGGACCTCCGTCTTATCTGGATTAAGGTTCTGTTTATTGGCCCTCATCCAGCCCATTAGCAGGCCATGGTATAGCATTGGAAATAAGGAAATGCACCAGAGAAAGTAACGTAATACTGGTTTCTGAAATATTCATGATCCCTTTGGGGTTTTGATAGTGAAATAATGAAAGATACAGAGAATCTAGAATTCTCAGGCTTTCTTAATTTCTGAAACTCGATACAAGCTAATCTAGAAACATCTGAGACAGCTAGAGATGTGGCATAAGCTAGCTAACTGGAGATGACTTAGTCTATTCTTTCCCATTATAGAAAAATGTGTATTTGAGGAAGCACCTTGATCAGAAATCAAGTGTCTCTGTTTGGACCAGTGGTTATTAATACAGCTTGCAGTATGACTTGCTGAGCAATGCAATCCAAGCAACTTTTCAGTTGGAAGGCATCTCTGTGGTTCAGCAGCTGAGGTACAGGATAAAACCTACTGCTCAGACCCTAAGAACTGATAGAAAATGCAGGGAGCAGCATTCCAGTAGAAAGAAATATTTGGGAATCATCTTACAGACTAAGTCTGTAAGGGATGGAAGCTTAAGTAGTTTACTAGAGTGAACTGTGTTAAACCTTAGCCACATCAATGGAATTGCTCAAGTTTGCACTATTATCGTGATGACGACTAGAGTAATAATAATAATTATTATTAATTTCATTTTTATACTCTAGCAGGAGTTTTCTGAGAAGTTGACCACAAGCACTAAATTAGTAGGTTTTCTGAAATCCAAAGTTAGTATATTGTTATCTTTTGAGATACAGTACAATATTTAATTTGCTTATTAGATTAGGATGGCCTCATTTCACTAACTATTAAACATCTTTGCTGCTTTTGTAGAGGGAGCTAATTACAGAAATGTCTTGGATAAAGCTGTTCAAGCTGACAAACAAGTTAAAGAGCGTTACCAGGCACATCGAGATACTATCTCACTGTTATGCAAACCAGAACCGGAACTGAACGCTGCAATTCCTTCAGCAAATCCAGCAAAAACTATGCAGGGGACTGAGGTAAGAACATGACATTTCATTATTATAGCTCCATTGAACAACTAGGCATTGAGACATTCAATGCTTGAGTAATTAATGCCAGTAAGGGTTTTTTTTGGGGGGGGGCAAATAGCACCTGTATTGCAGACAATGATTGAAACTTGCAGAAATGGAACATATGTTCCTATTGGTCTGTGTCTTGATCCAACTTGAATGCCCTTGATGTGCTTTTTTTTTAAAAAAAAATCAGGATCAGGTCTTCCATGTAGTGTGACTCATGTAGTGTGGCCCCAAATTAGTTGAGAGATCAATCCTTTGGCCTTGGACAGCATCTGAGGGGCCATAGGATATCTCAGGTTTCCAGATCTAGAGGTTGGAGATAGTGGTCTTCCCCTTCTTTTCAGCCAGTACAGGACAAAAAAATGAACTCAGACTGGAGGAAAGGGGGCATTTCAGTGGACTGAGCTGGCAGGAAACTGGAGAGGGCCAGGATACAAGGTATCCTGAGGCCTCCCCACCCACCTTCCCTCCCTGTTTGAAATGTTGCTAGATGGGCATAAAGATAGTCTAGCAAAAAGGCAGGGTGGAAGGACAGGAAAGTGAAGAGTTTGTAATCTTGAGCTTGGTGACTTAAGTTCCTTGTAATAGGATTATATGCTAAGTCTCTTTTGCTATTCAACAATCTTGTTACTCAATTGTGCTTTCTAAGTATGAAGTTTATTTAGGATGCAGACCAGAATGTTGAAGTACTAATTTGTATTTGGCTTATGCTAATCTCCCTTCCATATTTTCTTTCACAATCTTAGAGGGGAAAACAAGTTTGAAAATGGATATAAAGACTGAATTATCTTCTTGTTTACTAGGTGGTTAATGTTCTGAAATCTTTGCTAGCTAGTCTGGATGAAGTGAAAAAGCAGAGAGAGCAACTCGAGAATGATCTTAAAGCAATAAACTTTGACATGACAACTACATTCCTGACAGCGCTTGCAAAGGATGGTGCTTTAAATGAGGAAGCAATTTCTGTAACAGAGTTGGATCGGCTTTATGGTAGTCTCACCCATAAGGTCCAAGAGACCTTGAAAAAACAGGAAGAGCTGCTCAATAGCATTCAGGTATTTTACCTTCCCTGTAATAAGTTTTAAGGGCTAGTTTGGCACAATGGGTGCCTGGTCGTTACTGGCTTCCAAGTCATGACTGTGAATATTTAAATTTGGTCTCCTAGTGGAGATTGCTGTGCTTCCTTTTATGAGCTTAGTGAATTCTTAAATTTATTTTTTTTCCTCATTGTAGAATTCACATCAAGAATTTTCTAAGATGAAGCAATCAAATAATGAATCCAATTTAAGGGACGAAGTTTTAAAGAACTTAGCTGTAGCCAATGACAACTTTGTGGAACTTGTGGCAAACCTGAAAGAAGGCACAAAGGTATAGTAATACATGGTGAGGGACCTGGAATACATACAGTAATTTCACAGGTTTACTTCATCCTTGTTTTTCCCCTTGGATTACTTCACTGAAGAGAAAGCATCAGCTAGTACCAGTAAGTATTCAGGTAAAGGCATTGAAAAAGTTGTCTGAATTTGCTAAGTAGACCATATCTAGAAAGAATGTAGATATTGAATTAGGAATTTTGAAAATGTCAAATAGGCCGACTTTTCCTGAATGTATTCTGATGGAATGTGATCTTGTGAAATGCTTCAAATTTTGTAGTACTAGTAAATGATTGCTTGGGATGGCAATACATTTTAAAAGTAGAGGAAATATATCGGAAAAAACAGGACTTTCTGAAACAGACATCTCCTTGTATGATACATAATTATTAAAGAAGATAAGCTCTTCTCAAACATTTATTTCATTAGAACTGTGGTTCCCTTTCATTAATCTAACCACCTGTTTTCAGCAGTGAAACAGAAGATGGGATATACAAGTATGATGAAAGATAAAGCTACAAGTGATGGAAACTGCAGGGAAAATCAGTTGTCCTCAGTTTTCACACTATAAAAATGTTATATCAGTGTTCAGTGTTTTGTGAGCTTGTTCTTACAGATTATTAACTGTTCTTTCTAGTTTTACAATGAACTGACTGAACTCCTTCTGAAGTTTCAAAACAAGTGTAGTGACATTGTGTTTGCACGTAAAACAGAGAGAGATGAACTTCTGAAGTAAGTCTGTACCTTCAAAAATTAAAGCAAACATCTTCATGATATGACTAAGGCAGGTTGTATTCAGGGACTCGTAAGAGGATTTTCTTCAAGCACAAATGTCTGAATTTACCTTTTATAATTCCTATTGTAGGCATTTCTTTGCATTGGTTATTTATCCTTCTTTACATATAGAAGTGCAGAATGCTCAGAGCCTGGCTTGTATACCTTTTACACAAAGTGAAAGGGAAGCTGCTCATTATATTAGTATTGCCAGTCCAGCATTGGGTTTCTTAAGTGTAGTCCTCACCCAAAACTGGCTGGTGCCCTTGCCATATTGTTTCTTCTGTTCCTTGGATCTTCTTGAGATGAACTGTGATGCATGGGGGATAGGAGAGACTTGATGGCATCCTTTGGTTAACCAGAATGGTCACTTGATATGTAAGACAGTATATCCCAAGTCTGGCGCATAGTCTCAACATTGCAAAATTTTGGATCTCTTGAATACCATTTGATCCAAAAAGTCTCTTTCTTTAATTAGTGCCTAATTACACTAAGCTTTGGCTGCATGAAGGTTATTCTGATTAGAGATCTAGTTTGAAAGTTTGTTGGGTTTTTTAACTTTTTCTGTCAGGCTCAAGGAAGGAAATGATCTGTGTATAAAAGTATTGGGTGCTAATTTTACATTAGACAAAGTGGTAGTGCCGGCAGTCCATGTTTAATGCATCACACTTTATGTGATGCTTTCCTTTTAAGAGATTTGCAGCAGAGTATCGCTAGAGAACCCAGTGCTCCTTCTTTCCCTTCTGTGCCTGCATACCAAACGGGTCCTCCTGGAGGAAACAAACCTCCCTCAACTACTCCAACTCCAGCACCCAGAACCATGGTGGTAAGTAAAGTAACAGTTTAAACCGATCTATGATAATAGTTGTATTCTTGCTTAAAATGGATTTTTCCAACAAGTTATAATGAACCTTATGGTCTGCAGTGCTGACAGCATAGAAATAATTCATTAAATGAGAGTGAATCGGTTGACCAGATTAGGTTTTTACAGAACTCTGTAGTTTTACAGAGTTTTTCAGAACGGTGAGTACCATGGATATAAAACATGGAGAATAATTTATCTGACTCCAGTTTCTTTTTTAGGCTAGCAAACCACAGCCACCAGCACGCCCTCCCCCACCAGTCTTTTCTACCGCCAATACAGTCTCTGCTCCTGTACCAGCATCCACTGGGACGCCAGTTCCTCCAGCTGCTTCTTCAGCTAGCACAGCACCTTCACAGGCTCAGGGGCCACCCTATCCAACATATCCAGGATTCCCTGGGTAAGTTTGCAAATTATGAGCTAAGGGCAGCTTATACTGCTGATAAAACTCTTAACAGTTCAGGTTCAGTGAGGAACAAAAGTGAAGTTGGAGTAACAGTTTCCATGAAACTTAAATGATCATCTCTATTGAAATGGTTTGGTAAAGACTAGTATTTTGGGGCAAGCCTGAAAAAAAATGCTTTCCTTTCTTTCCTTTCTAGAGCAGTACTACTTTTCAGATTTCCAGATCACTGTGCTTTACTTGAGTGCTATCAGCCAGACTTCCCCAACCTGGTCTCCTCCAGATATTTTGGACTTAATCTCCCAGCCAACATAGCCAATGGTCAGGTACACTAGTAATTGTGGTCCAAAGCTTCTAAGGGACACCAGTTCCTGAAGGCTACTATGAGGAACCGAAGTGGAGCATTCTGCTCGCTCTCTCCTTCTTCCAGATTTTGAGTTTATATTTCAGTTGACCTTCAACAATTCTGTGGCTATTAAGTATGCTGCTCCAAATTGTGGAATTCTCAAGCATGCTGTTATCCCTATTTTCTTTGCACCCACCAACTCATTTTGATATTAGAGAGAGGTGCAGTTAAAAGAGTTGTGTCAAGAGTTTAGGTGCTAACCAACTGAGTTTGCTGTTGGAAAGAGTAACTACTGATGTGATAAGTGGAGGTTTAGCTGCTTATCTATTTTAAATGTTTGGTCTTTTAGTTTGTGTTTTCTTGTAAAAGGTCAGTCTGGCCAACACCAAGTTCTTCTAGAACCAGTCTGAATGATTAAATGTTTAAGTTAAACCTGATTTCAAGATGTTTAGCTTTGGCTCAGTTATTCATATAGTATGTTCAAGACTTGAATGACTTGTTCGTACTTAAGCATAAAGTAGTATGTACAGTGATCTTTTTGTAATTAGGGTTGTACATAACTCAGCCTTTCACTTAATTCTTGTGTGATAAATATGGCTTAAAGACATTTGCTGTAAGTTAAGTGTTTGCCTCATAGCGATATAGAAAGACACCATAGCTATGACTCAAAATTTGTTAAGAGTAATAATTTCAAGTGTATATGTATGTTAAAGTACAAAGGAGGAAGATGCTCCATCCATCTCCCGGGCAGCCACCTGCAACTTACAAAAAGCTCCTTGGAGGGGAGGGGTTGGGCATCTAGAATGGGATGCAGGAAAGCTACTGGAGGGAGGAAAGAATGGCAAATTTCCTTTCCATTCATTTCTGGACTTTAGGATTGAAGTGTGAGTGATACACTAGTCCACCAGCCCCCTTGTTTAGGAAGATTGCACCCAACCACTGACATGCTTTTCAAGGAGTGCAGTTTTAGTGTATTCAAGCACTGTGAAAACCAAAGTATACCAAAGATTAGGAAAGCTGCTTTCACAAAGGAAGATTGATTTGGAGATTGTGGAATCCATCATACATAGGACCTGCTTCTGAGATGTATGTGCTCTCAAGTATTTCAACTTCTACCTTCTGTTATTTACAAACTTTTGTTTTTACAGATATTGCCAGATGCCTTTGCCAATGGGCTACAATCCTTATATGTATGGCCAGTTCAATCCTCCATACACAGCTTCACCAATGTACCAAAATCCTGGACAAGCACCATACCCAGCAGCTCAGCAGCCTGGATACCCTTACCCACAACAACCCTATTATCCGCAGCAATAACATATCTACAACAAAGCACTGCTTGTTATAACTAAGATAAACTTGCAATAAGCATACTAAATCTTTAGTTCCAGATAGTGTACCTCGCTGTATTGAAAAAGATCTGTAACTTCTTTCTTTGATTAAATACTCCAGAAGTCCTGTCCTCCCAGCTGAATTCTGACTGCATTAGACCTCTTGAGAAGGTGGCAGGCTGCTGCAATACAGTATGGACAGAATTGGATTACAGCAAAGTTCAGCCGTATGAAAATATTCTTAAACTAGACCAGCCTGTTTCTTTATAAAAGTCATTTCCTATAAATAGCTACTTGGGTACTTGAGATGAAAAGCAAAATGGTATAAGCACAGAGTGGTGTGTGGTCTGCAGGACTAACTAGCATTTTCTTCTATATTATATTGGTTTGTATTTTGGGTTTGAGTTTAGCTACCAATATGTTTTGCTTAATCTCAAGGTATTGTAAATCATAAATGCAAAATAAAGGGTATAGGATGGTTAAAAATGTTAACACTAGATATTTTTATTACCTCTTTGTACGTTTTTGAAGATTGGGCATGTTCCTTCGGGAAGTTGAGGTTTCTGCTAAGTGGACAAGGTTGATTGTATTTAACTTCCTGTACTATAAAAACAATCCCATAAATCAAGATGTCCAGAATGAGAGAGAAAAAATAAATCAACATATTTTTATTGAATTTTCCTAAAGAATAGCTTTTGAGTTTTAACGTGTTCATCTGGTTGTTTAAATTGCTCTAGATCCCTCTGGCTGGCAAGTAAACACTTCACATTCATTTTGATACTTTGCTCCTGGTTTATCAAATGATGTTTGCCTATTTGAAGTGCTATGAATCTAGTAACTGCTTGCAGCATCTCCATCAGACCTCACTGCACATGCCTGTGTATACACGGATAATCTCATTCATCCTTCCATCCCTGGAGGAAACTTGAGCTACAACTGTGATAAATAATAAAAGTTAATATTTAAATTCATGTCATTAAGCATGTGGCTGAATTTGAAAGGTTTGGAGTAGTGTCAGCGCATCTTGCCACAGGTCAGTGTGACTGTTTAGTGATGTAAATTCTTCTGGATGGAGCTTTTCTGTTCCATGCAGTCACATCCAGAATGCATGGCTGGTGCTGCTAGTAAGGACACTCTGTTGAAGGCAGGGACATGTGACAAATGGTTAACAAGGCAGAAATCTTAGTCATAATCTCAGAGATTAGTAAGCTCAGATTGAAAGTACTATTAAGCCTCATACAGGGCATTCAAAAGGGACCTACTTGGAATTTGTCCATATATGCAGATAACGCTGTGCTGTTTAGACGCTTCTTGGTCTTTCAAAAAGTACCTCAAATTTCAGGTACAGCTGGGGATCCTAATTTTTCCTCAAGCAATCAGCTATTTTACATTATTTTTCTAATCAAGTGACATCCTGTAAATTATGTTTTCCCTGGTGGAATAGAGGATAGGACTGAATCTAGGAGACTAGAACTAAAAGAAAACACTCCATTGTCATACATGCAGTTCAGGCTTCCATCATCACTAATGTTAAAATTTGTCACCATTTCATGCATGTCCAGTCCAACATTTGTCCATCCCATGTATAAACACTGTGGGGAGCAGCTGCCTTTTCCGGTGCCATGGGAGAAGACCTGTGGGGAACATGTGTTTGACATGCCTTGTATACCTATGTAGATAAAGCATTGTCTGCATATGTACCTTTGACAGACAAAAGGGGCAAAATTATCCTGTTAGTTTCAGGCATAAAGAGCCCTCTCCTTCATTGAATATCACTCAGTATGACTTAAAAAAATTCTCCAGGTCATACTCTGAACTCAACTGAATTAGACATTTTGCACAAGTAAAGATACCTATGCCTTGATGGTCTTATTTGAAATGGATACAGGGTGTAAAGAACTTTCCACAATTTGGTGGCTTCCAAACATGTTGAAGTTACCACCTGTCCGTCCCAACTGGTACGGTCAGTGGTTGGGAATGAGGAGTATTCTCTTAAACATGTCAAAAGAGGGTGATTGTCTGAGGGTGGATGATGGACCTCCCTTTTCATTTTACAAAAGGCACCAGGAGTGGGGTGTGTACCTCTCAGTTTCTTACTACATTATGTTAATTCCTGAGCATGAAGTAGGTCAAATTTATAAAATGTTTTTAGTATAATGGATTGAAGTTTGAAGTAAATAAGGATTTTTTTTTCTACCCAGTGAAGCATAACGCTTATAAAACAACTTGCAAAATGAAAGTGTTAGTAGGGTGTTCTTATTTGGTAGAATCATATGTAAGGCATCTCATGAAAAAGCTGTCCTTGGTCAAATATCCACCAGTATCTCCTGGACTAGAATTACACATTAAAGTCACCCTGTATAGCAGAATCCTATAAAATGGGGATTGAAGATTGTTGATACTTCTATGTTGTGCATAATGTTAGGGACAGGCTACCTCTGAAAATACATGTTAAGGGCATATTGCCTCTGAACATACTAAAGCTTCAGATTTCTGCAATTTGAATAGTATGTTTTTGAAAAGAATTCTCCAGTAGAGGGCAGTCTCAAATCATTAAATGGACAAAATGACCATGTTATCAAAATCTCTCCCACTGCCAAAAAAGGTTGCTCTTTCGCTGTTGATCATTTTCAGAGCAGTTTGCATATAAAACTTCAAATTGGAGTTCACTATAAAATCATTCAAAGGTACAAAACAGTTAAGCAGAAATTAAAATGAGCTGTGTAAATAAAAAGGCCTTCATCTGGTGTCAAAAGAAAATTTGACTTGGCAGCAGAAAAGCCTTGTTGGGGAAGGCTGCCTACCGTCTGTCTTACTTCTAATGGGGAGACCCAGAGATGGATCTGAGATGGAACTTAAAATACTTGAACAAGTTCCTTGGGACAAGGTTCTTCCACATTTAGGACTTTAGAAGTAACCTGCAGCATTTTGAATTTTGCTAAAATAGGCAGAGTTGCAGTCTAGCTGGATTTAACCTGGTGAGATGTTCCTTACAGCTGATCCCAGTCACCAGTCAAGCTGTTGTGTTTTGAACCAATAACAGTTTCTGAACCCCTTTTAATGGCATGTTTCAGTGTGATGTCTTCAATAGTCCAAATATGAGATCCCAGGAAAAAGGACAATTGTGGCTAGTCGGGAAACAGCTGTTGCCAGGGCACAGTTGCAGGGTACTTGGAGTCACAGAGGCTACTTGAGCATCCTCTGAGGATTCAAGCTCTGATTGCTTAGAGTGCCAACATGGTCCTTCAAAGGCCAAACAGCCCTGCCCAGAACGGGCCGAGTCACCTGGGTCAACCAAACCACCCAGCAACAGTACTTCCATCTTGTCTGAATTGAGTTTCAGTTCATAGCCTTCATACAGCCCGCTACTCAGCTGTCTATCCCAGTTAGCACTTTAGTATTTTTGTAGCTTCACTTGAACATCATAAAAGGGAGTAGGTTTTCTACATATGTATCATATCACATTAATGGATTTTGTATGAATAGTTTTTAATTGTGGCTTCCTTGCTATAAATTAATAATACATTTCTGGAAGGATTTCCTTTTGGATAGTCCTGTAGTATTTTCTATGCACAATGTAAGCAGATTGATCTACCCATTGAAGGCCTACATCTGCTTTTGGGGTTTCAAAAATCTATGTCTCGACTCATAATAAGATGTTTTCATGTATAAGGAACATAGTTGGACAGTTTCCAGAAAATATTGCTTAAGATCAATCTTGGAGATTAAAAAAACCCAGAGGAAGGTGGATATATTGCAGTTTTACTGAATGTTTTTAGCTGGGGGAGGGGGATGTGGCATTTTATCCATGATAAGAATCTTCTTGGTGTGTTTACCTGTCATGGATGAGCAGTGGCTGCAGAACACAGAGCAGAGGGAGTGTGGGTGATACTTTAGGTTCTAAAACATACTAGGCAATTTAGGTACATAGTAGACGTGAGAAGTTTTCCCTTGGAGTCTGCTATTTTAGAATAAAAGGAAGGAATTGCCCTCTAATGTTGAACAAAGCATTCTTTAAGAAGCCTGTTCAAATATTGTGGTCTCCTCGTCTGGCAACTTGATGTTGAACAGCCCAAGATTTTCACTGTTTGTGTTGTATGGATAAATTGGTGGTGATTGGTAGGATTTGAAGAACCACTTGCAGTAGATTGGAACTAAATCTGTCTGGGATGATGCCAGCATTTCATAATTTCACTTTATTTGCTGTACTGTCCTTGCTTCATCTATCCCACCTTTCATATTTACTTGTGATCCCTTGTTTGCATAACCTAGCAAAAGATGATGCTAGGACCAAATGTCTGGACAGCATTTTATAAAGGAAGCAGGGAGTTGAAAGTTAAATATTTGGTATTAGGAAGTAGAACATTGCTCTTGCTTTATACTTCGTCATCTTTCAGATTCTTGTATATTTCAGTCATCCCATTTTTAGTTTTTCTAGTGCTTATCTAGTATATACATTGAGCAAACACATTAGGCTGTCAAATATCACTAATGTCTGATGTAGATATATATTGGATACGTCTTGGGTAAGGAATATGTGTAATACAATTAAATAGCTCAAATAATTAATTACTGTGTGCCACAAGCTACAAAATAATAGTTGGAAAAGAACCAAGCCTGGGCACGACACATCCTGAGATCCAACCAATTTGAGTATTGATTCTGTGCCAAGATAATGCAGAGTTCAAACATGTTCAGTCTCTTCCTGTCCTGGAAACAGTTCCACCAAAATGCAAATAAGCTTTTGTATAGTTATTTCCCTAACAAAAAAGCCAGAAGGTACCAGACTCAGCAAAAACATGCAGTAGGTGTTTTGAGTTGAGGCTCATTTGCTCATGTTGCTTGGGCCAGTTCTGAACAGATGCTGGCAGAGTAACTTTTTTGTCTTCCATTTTCAATGGGCCTTTACAGAACACTTTACTACAAATGTGTTGAAAGTGTCAGAGGCAGAGAATGTGTGAAAGAGGAGAGGCGGATTTTCTAAGTGGCAAGTGAACCATCGACAAGGAAGGTCAACAGCAAAGGAGGTGTGTGTGGACAGCAATTGAAAGTATGAGTGGATAATTTCACACAAGGAAAGGGTGTAAAAAGATTAATAAAATGACTACGAAGCCAAAACAGCAACTCAAAGCTAGGAAAGCAGTAGAAAAGTATTTGACAGAAGGTTGATAAACATTTATTTGGAGAAATAGGTCCTTTCATGAACTTGCTAGCATTTTTTTTTCTTACAAGTAAGTGCTTTAACAGTGCAATCCTTTACATGTCTACTCAGAATTAAGCTCTCAAGGATAATGGGACTTACTGTATATTAAAGTGCACATAGGATTGCAACCTAAAATATTTAAAACATCCATATCCCCTACTCTTTAAGAGGAAAAAAAGCTTCTAAATTGTCTCTCGTGATGGCTGCTAACAGGATTTTCATAGCATTTGTGAATTGTCCTAGCAGAGTTAAAATGAGGAGTGAGGAAAGCAGAGCAAATGGTAAACATGCTTGCTCTTCCTGAAACTCATAACCAGGGTGAAAGTAGATGATGTGTAGGTAAACACACAAGCAGAATGTCACATCAGTGTTACCCACATTCATTGTGTGGGTTTGGCTCACTGACTAATGTAGTAATGCGCAGGCTTCGTATAGGTTGGCACACGGATGCAGGAGATCACGCAGATATTTTCCATGCTATTGAAGGATGACTCACAATGACATTTAAATGCTAGATATTACAGTGAGCAAAAATAGGGTATTTCCTGTGTGATCCTGTTTTCTGTCTGTTTGGACAACATACTAAACTTCTTGGGTGTAGCTCCTAACCCAATAATAGGCCAAATCTGATAATGTCAACCTCTCAACCCCTGCTCCAAACAATAGTCATCATATTTGCTGTGATCAGGAAACTGAAAGAGAAAAGTGGCAAACAACAAAAAAGGAAGGAAATCTTAGGAGTGTCTTCCTGCTGTCCCACATATATCCGTGTGTGTGTGTGTGTGTGTGTGTGTGTGTGTTTGAGAGAGAGAGAGAGAGAGAGAGAGAGAGGCAAAACCCACTAGAAATTGAGCTACATCACATCCAAGCTTCACTCAAGATGGCAGGAATGTCTTCCATGGGTCAAGGAGAACAGGATTCTGCAGTAAGTGATTGCAAATTATCCTGTGACCACAGAGGACAATGCCAGAAGACAGTGAAGCAAGGTCAGCCTATGGTGGGTTGCTAGGCCCCTGGAAGCAGCTCCTCTTTCCAAAGGCAGCATCTGCTGAAAAGGAGTGCCTCACTCTATAGTGCCTTAAGGCTGCCAAGCTTCCCATATTGGGAACTTGGCCATGCTGAACTCAGTTGGTTTCATTTTTGAATAAGTATGTATACGGTTGTACTGCAAATATACAGTGACCATGATTTTCCCTCTGAATAGTTGTCTTGCAGGAATGATCAGATCCTGTGTTTTTATCTGCCCATTGGTTTGTGTTCATGACCCAGCCAGTTTGTGTTTATGTTCACACATCTAACATTTCTTGTGGCTTTCAGCTTGGACATTTGATTTGCTCACACAATTATTGATCTCACCATTAAAAGAAAACTTAAAAAAAAAAAGTCATGGTCTTTCACCTGCTTCTTTCTTCTGGTTTCCTGTGTGTGAGTGACCAACACTAGATGTCAGTAGAGGGAAAGGAAGAAGCTGCTGCTTTGAAAACTGCTGTTTGAGAAAAATCCTCTGTTTCCTAAAGGCATTGCCAGTGGAAATTATGAACAGCAATCAGCAAGGGTCAAAATGAAATGATATCAGCTTACAAAAGGAGACTGAAGTTAAGAGAAGGTATAAAGGGGTGTGATTGGAAGATACTGAAGACACCTGGATGTTACCTGTAAATCAGTTACAAGACATGAGATATTTGGCACTTGTCTCCCCCTCTTCTATGTAAAATATGGACCTATTGAAAAAGAGGGGAGATGGGAAGAAGCCCAGAGGGTCTTTGAGTTGCCCTCAGGTGATGAGCACACAAAAGGGTACTCTGCATAATTCTTTGCCTTCAAATGCAGCTGCTGTCTTTTTTCCTGCATGAGTTTTTAACACCTGCATGCCAGACAGAAAGTCAACAGGTCAAATTTTCCCATGCCTGCAGAAGCAGCATGTTGAGAAAAGCTGCACTTCCGGAGTTCTTGTTTGTCCTGTTAGTTAGTTTGCTTGTTTGTAACATGGATATGCTGTCTGTTCTCCAAGGTGCTCAGGGCGGCATGCATATTACCCTCCCCATTTTGTCCTCACAACAAACTTTGAGGTAGGGTAGAGTTAGAGCAATAGAGAGAACATCCAGTCCAGTCCTTATAAATCAAAACCAGCACCTGCTTAGTAAAAGCTTAATATTACCAAGTCAGAAAATACTTTCTAAGGGCAGTCCCAGGTAGAATGCAATGCAGTAGTCAAGTCTTGGTGGATGTGATTGTTGGGAGTGAGAAGGAGGGTGGTCTTGGGCAATTGTTCTCATGAACTGTTGGCTGAGTCCCAGCCAACATTTGGAATCAGAATGTGAAGCATCTTACAGGGAAATTGGAGAGGATGGGCTAGGTCAAGATTCTGAGATGAGGAGGTGGAGGTGATGATGCAGAGGCGAGGCGCTTTGCTGGGCCAGGCACTTCCTTGGAATGACCAAGATGGACAGCCAGTGGGAGGGGTCTCTGACGATGAGGGATTCTCAGATGCAGGCCAAGCCCACCCCCTCCGCTTGGCCCTGTGGCAAGGTGTCAGCAAAAGCAGGAGGCCCAACTGAACAAGCAGTGTGCAGCGAGGAGGTGTGTTTGCCTTCAGAAAGCCCCACCTAAGGCGATGGATCCCAGGCATATTCATAAGAAGCGTTCTTGAAGGCAAATACTCAATTGATTTCAACAAGCCATTCTGTGCATGCTCAGAGATATGGGAGCAGTAAAAACATTTTGCAAGGAAAATGCTCTGTGGCTTTTAACTGTTTGAATGAGGAACCTCAGCTCACAACAGCGACTTTCATTCCAGGGATGGATGAAGCCAAAGGCAAAGCAGGCATGGCCAAAATGCCAAGATCTTAGCTTAAATCTTACTGCCAACTAAACCCTAGGAGAAGCATTCAACCTTTAAGAAATGAGGAGAGGTTGGAACTTTGCAAAATCTACCAAGTCAAATTATGCTGCATTTTGCTTGTAGACCTTCTGACACCTGGGAAATGGGGAGGGTGCAAGGGATTTATTCATTTATCCTGCTTTTCAGCCAAAAGAAAAGCTTCCACAGCATCTGACAAAGAAAGCCCTTGCCCTCAGGTGTACAACTGAAAAGGCATAACACAAAAGGAGAAGGGATTGGGAAGGAGGAGTATAAAAGCAAACTGGGCTGCCAACTCTTGAAGTTACACGTACTTTTAATGAACAGCTTGAATGGAAACAGTTCCAGGAGAGGAGGAGACAAAGCTTGCCTGTCCTGCTTTCTCCCTCTCCCTCTGTTGCAGCCTGATGGTGTGGCGGCTGCCTTGTGCCAGGTGAAAGAGGGTGCAGCCTGCGGGGCTGGCTTCTCAGCAGAACTGGTGTGGTGTCCTGGCTTCCCTCCTCTCCCTGAGTGCAGCCTGGTGAAAAAAATCTTCAGCTGTCCCTATTCCCGATACCTGTCCTAGCGCTGTCTTTCCAAAAGGCTTTGGAAGTTTATCAGTGTGCACACAGTGCAGTGTGCACAGCTGCATGAGTGTGCTTTCGGGTTCAGCACTCTTCCCTTGAAGTTTAATCTCTGGAGGAGCTGTGGGCATGAGAAGATCCATTTGACTACAGTAAGCTGGCATGCACACAGTTTCCCTGTAGGCTTCCCTAATGGTTAAACCTAAACTTTAAGAATAGAATCATTATGGGTAATTTACTAATGCATCCCAGTTCTAAATCCAGCACAGTGCACATCATTGCTGGGTACATGGATATAGACTGCAAAGAGACTTTGGCAATGTTTATTTTTTATTTTATTTTATTTTTTTGTGGAGGGGTGTTTGGGAAGAGGAAGTTCAGGCTGTAATCTTTAGGCTGAGAATAAGGGTGTGACAAGTCTGCTACAGTGTCCCAGTTTCCATCTGTGAAATACTGGAGGATATGAAATAAGCCTTAGACCCCAAAAGAGAAAGTTTTGGGGAGCAACAAAAAGGGTATTTTCAATTTGCATCTAATCAAGATTCTGCACTTCAGAAAAATCTCACATTTTATTTCATAAACATAGGCATCTGCTGCTAATTAAAGCTGCAGCATATAATTACACCCTTTCTTATTAGTAGATATGGAGTCTGACAGTTGCTTAGATACAAAATAAGCAACTACAGATTGTCTCCTGCACTTTAACAAGCGCAGGGAGTTTGAACAACAGGATTCTAAAGTTCTATATTATCTCCAGTAAATGCGCTGGGAGGTGGCAGAGTGCTGGTGGGGATGTGAATCCCATTGGTGGTATGTAATTTTAGAAGAAATGGCATTCGGTTGCCGCCTCCTCAGTCTATCCAACAAGATATCCTTGCAGATAGAGATAAGTGAGCCTTTTCTTTTGGAGATGCACTTCACCGGGAAAGAGCAGAACATAGAATTACCTAAGTAGTTATGGGTAGTATATTGTGATTTTGCCAGGACCATATGCATCCTCAAATTGCATAGTTAAAACAGCATTCTTTTTCCCTTACTTTTCAAACCAGACAGCTCCTCCAAGCAGGGGATCCTGCAAAAGTTCACATACAGATATACAAACTAGGCACAACCCTTCAAAATTGCTTGTATTTTAA